TTTCCCATCAGCCCAGTTCATTTCAGTGGGCTAGAAGTGCCTGTGTCACTCCAACTTAGTTTGGTGACATTGTTACCTGATCACAGCCCTTAATAATATAGTCTGATGGCTATTTTCCTTCTTATCAATCTCTAGATCTTCAGGCTGTCTTGGGTACTGTGTATCCTCAGGGAGAGACAGAGTACCTGTGACTTTTCCTCTTCCCTTTGCTCCATGGGTAGCCCGGGCCACCCAGAATGAACTTTACCTGGCCAATTAAAGTTGTACCAAAAAAATAATGTACCAGGAGCTGTCAGTAAAGCTTCTCAATCTATATGTGAACATGTATAAATCTTCATTTTACCTCTCATTGTACTTATTTGTTCCTTGCTGATTTCTTTTTTACCTCACCTATTGAGCAATGTTAATATAGAGGCTGGTGAGGTTTAGCAGAAGACATCTGAGCATGGGGAGGCTGAAGGCTTAAAAGAGCAGAGTTTATGGCAGCCTAAGATGCCAAAGCACAACAGCTGAGTCTCAGACCCCACAGACTACAGAGAGAAGTAGGCCCAATCTACCCAGACTTTGAGGGTCCCAGATCATTTTTTGGTGTAAAATCCCAAGGTGTTCCATTCAGTCAGACACAAGGTGACCACTGGGGCATGATATGGGAGACTTGCAGGGCAGAGCTCCCATCAGAGCATCACAGGTACCTAGATGAGAAGTGCCAACTCTTCACAACAATGGGAGAAACTCAAACCTAGAAGTCTGTATAAATGACATTTTTCACTGACTAACACAGTAAAAGGTATTTTTGCCTGACAGAAAAGCATCTGACAGTTGCCATGTTGCAACCTTGAATTTTAGAAGGAGAAAAAATGGAAGCCAGAGATAACATTGAAATGTGGCAGGATGCAAGGCTCCAGTAAACTGTTATTTTCCCTGCTCCTTCCTTAAGTGGTACAGAAAATTGGTAGGCACATCCCCTCACTAAGATGTTTGCAACATTGTGTGAGTTGCACTCATCAGAATTTTGCCTAATTCCTAGGCCAAACATCTGCTGACAGAAGTAGACACAAACAAGCTAAAATAACTCCGAGAACCCTGAGTTGTGAACACTGGCCAGCAGGTCATTCTCACATAAATAGCTCACATCTCTGGTCTCTGCAGCACAACTATAGAATTAAACACAAGAAACTTAACTTTTACAATAAGAACCTCTTAATTTAGGGGATGCACCCCTGTTCTGCAGGGATCATGTTGAGAATGAATCAGAACAATTGTGTTGGCCCAGAATCGGATGTTGCCCTTTTGCAAAAGGTTCCTTTTGCAAATGGATGATGAGGAAATGAGGCTGTATGACTTCAATTGTGCAAAACACAGCTAGAGCTCCCATGGGAACATTTACTGTTTGTAGCTGTCACTCAAGGAAATGCAAGATACTTTCTTCAGTGTCTCTAGATAGGTGGTCCTGAACCAGTCGAATAGAAACTTCAATATGGAGGCACTGATGAACACCCTGGGGGCATCTCAAGGTTGGTTCAGCCATACAACTGGGATTAGTTTTTCAGTGTCAGGTTCAGTGTTAACAAATGATTTCCATGATCAGTAGCATTAGCTGAACATGCATGTGTGTGTGATAAGATGGGCTGACAATGAGTCTGTAGCTGTGGAATACAGATTTCCAGAGATGGGACTCAGAGGTTGAAGCTTACAACTAAATAACATTTTGCCTTCACAGCAGTGAGCACTGTGTTCCTTACAGTGGAAACTGGTGTGAGCAGCTGCAGGCTGTGGATAGAGTCCTTTGAGGATGGAAGTTCTATATTCTACATTAAAATTGAATTTCCTTGAGAAAATTCTTTGACTACAACATGATTTCTCCACAGGGCCATGTGAAGTATGGCACTGGCAAATATTAGGGGCCAAAAGTACTTATCGGGCTTTCAATAGAGGACCTCATCTTCAGCTATGTATGCCTGAGACAGAATAGTCAAGAAAAACTTCCTGTATGTAGTAGACACCATGCATTTCTCTGAGAAGCTCAGTGTCCTCTTCTGGGGCATGACTGACAAAGTACTGTGTGGAGTAATGGTTAATTAGCACAAATTGAGTGCTGTGGTGCACAGCTAAGGTAGCGCTGTGTGTGTAGTAGGATGAACACTGGGGTGAGTTCTTCAATAAATGTGGGCCTTCGAGGAGGCCTAGAGATTTTCCCAAGTAGTTTCAGAGATCTGATCCTGGTTACTACCTCCAATACCTCCTCATTCTCTACAATTCTGTGGAGGGTGTTAATTTTACCAGCATTCTATGTTAGTATAGCAGAAGTCAAAAGCAGTAGAAAGTGGCAGTTGAGGTTCCTTATGAGAAATTCTGTGTGATACATTTCTCTGTGAATGTGTTCACATTCAGCTGTTTACTTTGAATCAAAGGGATTAGCTTTTTCTCAGAGGGTGGGATTAGCTCCCACAAATCTTAAACAGTGCCTTGAAAGCTACATGCAGTATTTTAATAGTTGAGAGTAATTTGTTGAGGCAAAGACTCTAAGATCTTGACCCTTACCATCTTAGCATCTAAGCATCTAAGGTAATACTGCATTTGTAAGCTGATGGTTCTATGTCATGGGCCTGGTTTCAGATTTAAATTCCATCTGAAGAAATGCATCTCATTACAAACAATTCTGAGACTGATGTAGAGCTCATATATTGTGGGGTGCCTAGAGATCTGATCTAGAGCTCAGAACTGCTCAGACATGAGTTTGTTCTAGAATCAAAGGGGGAGTCTGAGGTTTTGGGTTGGGTTCATCAGGCCATAATGAGAATGGGAAACTTTCTCCAGATGAAACTTGGTTCTGGTGTGGGAACTAATGTTCAGACCACCTAGAGGATTACTTTTGCTGCACGCTGATTGGTCTCAATGATTTTCAGATTAGAATAGGTACCTGCGGGTCACCATTGAGACAAACTGGGACAAGGTGAGGTAACTAGAAAAATGGTTTCCTGTTTTAAGTTTTGAAAATTCCACAAATGTCCAGTTTCCACCTGACTCTGGAGAGTTGGGACTTTTTGGCTTCAAACCCAATGAAAATTACTTATAAACTGGAGTGATTTGGAATCTACACTGTCTTCAGAGATGACACAACAGTCTACATGCCATTATATGTCACCATGCACATGCCACACAGCACACAGAAATTAATTCTCTCCCTAGAAGAAACAAGCAGAAAACAATCTGTCCCCCATCACTTCCATAAGTCTCATGCCCCTGAAAGTGACTTGAAGCTCTCCTTTAGTTGGTTCTTTGACACCAAACATGAATTGGGCAGTGGCATTGCTTTGATACTAACAGTACTCTTGGCATACTTTTCCTTCACTGGATCAAGAGACTTGTGGGATCCTCACTGTGGAAATGTGAGTACAGTGGGACCTCCTGAGCCAAAGAACTTGTAATCTGTGACTAATGTTGCTGTAGGAGCTCCTGTGTGGGACAACTGTTTGACCTGTCACTGTTTTTAGATTTTGGTTCATGAATTTGACTGAATATTGTGTACAGTTCTGAATGATGGATGTGATGGCAACTTGCACTCACTTGGGATTAGGGATAATACAATGATAAATGACACAGAATTGGCCCAAATCTCCTTTGGTCTTTTTTTTCCCCACAATTAAACAATGCTCATGCTTCAGCAATGTATGAGGCATTTCATGGGTGATGTCTGATATGCACTAGGTCTACCTGGTCAGAGGGGTTACGATGTTGTTTATGCTTTTCTTTCTTCTCTTGGGCTTCAGGTCTCATTCCAGATCCTTGCCCATGCTGGGGACAGACTTGCTTCCTTCTCATTCACTCAGTGCTATACTGAAGCATCTGGACACCCAAAAATCAAAGCAGCCATTTCTCCATTGTTCTCCACTCTGCCATCCTGATCTGTAGAGATCAATAAATGCAAGAAAAGCAGTTTCTCTTTGAGCTCACCCCTGACATGCAAAACTCCACCCCTCCATCCACAGAAGGGTGCTGTAACTAAAATATGGTGGACTCCTTTCCATTCTTGGTAACCATTAAGAGCTCTTTTCTTATTCAATAAACACTCTTGTAAGTTCCTTCTTATATCCTCAAATTTGGTGGTCAATTTTGGGAATAGAGAACTCAGGTGCTTAAAATTAGTGACTATGTATACAAAATTGAGCTGTGTCACTGCACCTGTGTGACACAGCTAGAGGGTCAACTTTAGATGATGGCACCAAGCACATGGTGAAGACTGTTTCTCACTGTTTGTGGAAGAGCTGAGATGAACCAGCAAGGAACAGCTGGTGGGAGGAGGGCAAGGTGTTCTCAGGAGGTGACAGCTGAATCATGGGTAGTGGGCATTGGCTGACAAAAAGAAGACATGGAGATCACAGCAGAAGGGACATTTTTGCCATCACCACATGTGTGGGGACAGTGACTCTTTCCCACAGAGCAGTAGGAAGTTATGGCCACTGGAGGGCAAGCAAGGCAGGCAGTGTGCATCACCCCCTTCAATCAGCTGCCTGGGGCACTGAATGGAGATTTCAGAGGCAGACATAGTGTGAGGCAGATGCTCCATAGGACCCGAGCTGTAGGCCAGCTGATAACCCAAGGTCTGATTCATGCAGAAGGTGGAGATGTCTGCTCTGATCTAGAGGAGGCGGCTCTGGTGTCCCAGAAAGTCTGAGCAGCTGTTCATTGAGTCCACCCTGTTGCCACAGAGCTCCCTGCTACTGCCCTGCACTGAGGAGAAGGGGCTGGAGAGATGAGGGATGAGGAAAGAGGGACTTTGTGTCACAGCACAGCTCATGTGGCCTGTGCCCTCTACCCTGATCCCCTCTCCCAAAGCCAGCTGTCCACTGTGCCTGAAAAGCACTTCTTCCCTTCTTTCACTTCTCTGCATCCTGACATGCATGCATCTCAAAGTGACAGCTACACATATAGTTACAATATCATTGCCAGGAAGAAACTATGAAATGTATAAGACATAAAAAAAGATTGTCACAAAGGCATAAGCAAATATTAGCACAAAATTTATTATCAGTCAACTGAAAGAAATTAGTGATGAAAACATATTAAATATTGTAATTACTATTAAATTTTGTTTTTTCACAAGACAAGAGGCAGCAAATGTATTACAAAAGAAATTACAATATTTGATAAGGATTGGATAGATTGTTTGGGGAAAAAATGATCTAGTTTGGCCCATAGATCATTGAGAAAAGCATGCCAGGAATCCTGGTTTTGAGAGTGCAAGGCAACAACAGGAGTCACCATTCTCTCTGCAGAACATGCTGTGGTTCCTGGTGAACTGCTCAAGCAGACAGTGCTGACCTACTCAGACATACTGGGGATGCAAAAGGGATGCACTTCTCCCCCTTCTCTGCCTGGAGTGTGCCAGGGTGTCTCAGTGCTCAATGCAGTAAGCACGAGATCTAAGGTTTTGATGGTGCCACAGGCTTTGAAAGGTTTTAGGTGAAACTGGCTTTAGGATCCTGTAGGAGCCATGAGGCTGATGGGCTCTTATGCTTTATGCAGAAGTCTCCATCCAGCAAGGACAGTGGGCAGAGGCAGCGCTGACTTGGGATTTGTGTGAAGCAGGGACTCCTGTGCATATGAATCTTTCCTCAGTTTCAAGCACGCCAACCACTCCTTCCCAAACACAACATGAAGAGGGGTTGGACAGGCAGAGCAGGTGACAGTGTCGGGGAAGAGGACAAAGAGAGATCTTGCACAGGCTTGTTGTACCTTCCTCTCAGCTGGTGTCTTCTGTGCTTAGCTTGTGCTCATATAACTGTTCATGCCCAGAGAAATCTGCCACTTCTTTACTGGATTTCTGTTGAGCTGTGATGTCAGAGCATGCTGAATATTGTCAAAGGCCAGAACACCCAGACCACCTTCTCTCCCTCACCCTCTAAATGCTGCCCATGCAGCCACAGCCGCAGGAAGCCAAGCCCAGTGCAGTTACTGGTGAAGACAAGGAGCTGGCTTGCTCTTCAATCATGGGTTACAGCACAGCATATAGAGCTACACACCACACTTAGTCTGAAGGTGGTCAGTGCCTGGCATTGTTTCCAGTGGATTCTGTGGGCACATAGTGGCTTTGTGTCTCCCAGCTCTGAAGACCTTACTAGTTTCCTAAGTATCCTGTAAGGGGAGGGAGATGAAGACTCCCTGTCCTGGGGAAACACACACACAGCTGTCAGGCTTGTGACCTGCCCCTCAGTGGCTCGGAGTCTTTGAACTCTTTACCTTCCTCCAGCATGAGCTGGAGACTTTCCATCCCACATTGGGGTCAGTGGCTGCAGAGGGTCCCATAAGCTCCAGTTTCCTGGGCAGGGACAGTGTCCTTGTGGGTTGTGGGTGGGGACTCCAGCCTTTCTCAGAGCAGCTCTGTTTTCTGAGGTCACTGAGGAGCTCTGGGAAGTCCCTGGTGCATACTGTGGCATTTGTTTCTGGCCACACCCTTGGTCACGCAGCCCTCTGGGGTGGAATGTGCCCAGGATGTAGTGCTCCTCACATAGTGCTTTTTTTCTTTTCTCTGCCTGGGATTTATTAAAAGAACTACAGAAAAACCTTAGATAAGGGAAGTGACTATGCACAGCTGATGGGAAGCTCAGGAACATTGTGTGGATGAAGCCTGAGTGCAAATCAGAGGCTCTTTCCTTCAGTGACTTGACAAATGCTGAAGTCTCCCCACTGCATTACATCCTCCCTCAGAACAGAAATACACAGCTGGAAACAAAGCTGAGGGCTCACAATCTAGTGAGGCAGAAAACTCCTCATCACACAGTCATATGACCATTATAAGTCTACAATCCCCACACACTGGAGGCAGAGATGGCAGGATCAACATGAGTTTGAGGCCAGCCTGGTCCCCTACTGAGTTTCAGGTCAGCCTTGACTCCATGGTGACACCCTGTCTCAAAAAATGCTTTTGTTGGTTTATCATGCAAAAAAGCCCAAATGTGCAGTGGGAAAATGGTGAAACAAAGCATGACAAAGTCTCATGATTTAATATACAGCTGTTGGAGTTGTTTCTAATAGTTGGGAAAGGATTACAGTAACCCTGGGAGTTTCACAATGGGATGTGAGGTTCAGAGGTCCCCCCGTGTATAAAGCCCCTGCTCCTCTTACACAGAAAAGCTGCACATGTTCCACACTGAATGGTGCCTGCTGCTGTTGCTGCTCAGGGCTCACCCTCAGGAGAGAGCCGTGTCCTTTCCAAGAGGCCCACAGTTCTGCATAACCACTGTCTCTGCAGTGAGGGCTGGGCATGCTCTAGACAAGGGACTAGCTTTAATGTGGCAGGTGCAGGGTGAGGGTCCTCGATGCCCTTCTTGTTGGGACTCAGAGATGGGTTGTGTCCTGTGGTGCTGTGCTGCCCTTCACTGACAGCTCCACAGCACTCATCTCTTTCTCTCTCTCTATTGCTGTTATTTGCTTGCTATTTCTGAAGACAAAAATGTGTACCAGATGTGCTTCTAGGGATGCAGTGAAAATCTGATTTCTGAATGTTCCTGGGCATCTGATTAAACTCCTTTGTCATTAATCCAGGCCCAATGTGCCCATGAGTTGCCCCCTCTGCTAGAACTTACTGACAGTGGCTGTTTATTTGGAAATCTTTCCCTTTGAAGTCAGTGGTATGCTATTATATTCATTAACTGAAAATAAAGGAAAACCTAATTGCATGGCTTGGATTTTTATTTTTTAGAACAGCTTGAAGGTCTTGAATAAACATTAAGAAGTAGTGAGGTCACACACAGTAGTACAGAGGTCACACCCAGCAGTACAGGGTAGGGCATATGTTACAAACAGGGAGGTGCTAGCTTTCCCTGTGACCTGGAAAGCTCTCTGCTGCAAGAAAGTTTCCCTCTGTGTGCAGTCACTTGCAGGGGCCACTGCAGAGGAGGCACCTGTATTGGACTGAGGGTGATGATGCTACCAACATCTCCTGTCTGCCACGTGAGACTTGCCCTGCTTTGCAGGTGGTGTCCCCATGAAGTTGGGGCTATATTCACACTGTGAATTGAAGAATGCTACTGGTTTCCTTGTGCCTCAGGTTGTGTGACAAGAGGCACCTTTGAGGCCTTTGAGGCTTCCAAGACTTCATCGTGAGTCTGCTGTAATCTCAATCCTGAGGATGGGAAGCAGTTGGCGTCAGGATACCGCTGGCCTCTGAGAACACAGAGAGTGACCTGGGAGAGGCCCATGCGTGCTGAACCTGACCTGGTAGTGGAGAGGTCTATGTGGAGAGGGGGCACAGCAGCCAGCATGTCTCTTTATGGACACTGCTCCTGCCATACAGAGCTGCAGCTTATGTGGAAAGAGCAGGACTGTGGCATGTGCATGTCACCCAGCTGATGGATGACAATTTAATAATCACCTTATCAATATACAATCTGTCCCACCTGTGGTTGCTCTTTCCTGTCAATCACTGCTCTTTTTCAAGGACAGTATCAGGCACAGCTGAATCATTGCTAAGAACAGCAGAAGACTTTCCCACCTTTTCAGTGGCATGTTTTTTTGTAATGGAAAAATATTTTATTCAGTAGGAACCCAGAAAAAATCAGGAGAAGCTATTCTAATTTCAGATAAAGTGGATTTCAAGGCAAAACTGATCGAAAGACCAAGAAGCTCACTACATATTGGTTAAGGAAATAATAAAACATAAACAGATAAACATATATGCATCAAATATTAGTGCACTCAACTTTTTAAAAATTTTAAAGAAAGACTAAACAAAACAGAAAATAGGTAGAAATACTACATATGTTCAGAGAGAAAAGAACCAGTAAGAAATCACTAGTTGATGTTTACATATTGTTGTTTTACAAATAGTTGTTCAAGATATAAAAATGGAACATGTAAAGTAGGAATTCAAACAGCAAGACTGCAAACAGTTCTGTTCAACTGTCCAACAAAAACTTAGTAACACTGTTGTCAGTCCTATACACTTAAACATCCATATCTTCATTTATGTTTAGATTAAACTAAAGCAGATTAAAATCATTCTGAACAAAGAATAATAGAATTGCTGGATTTCACATCATGACACTCCGGGATCAGCACTGGGTACTGTAGTGTCTTTTTTTTTTTAATTTAATTTAAAGAAAGACTGAACAAAACAGAAAATGCATAGAAATAATACATAATGTCAAAGAAAAAAACCAGAAATCACTAATTGATTACAGATTGTCTTCTTACAAATAGTTATTCAAGATATTAAAGTGGATCATATAAAATGGGGATTCAAACAGTGAGATTGCAACCAGTTCTGTTCAACTATCCAACAAAAACTTAGAAATATGGTTATCAATCCTATACACTTAAACATACATGCAGGTATCCATATCTTCAATTATGTTGAGATTGAATAAACCCAAGCAGGCTAATATCACTCTGAACAAAGAATAGTACTATTGCTGGGTGTCACATTATGACACTCCGGGATCAGCACTGGGTATTTTAGGGTCTGTTTTTCTTCAAAGTATCTGTTCATTTCATTATGTGTCATAAGACCAGTTCTCGTAAACTGTTTATAGATTCTACACATGCATGAGTCTAAACATGTATTTCTATCCTTTCTATATTAGAGGGAGAAACAAAACAAAGCAAAACAAAACATATTCCTATAAACACATGGAAAGAAAAAGACATAAGACCGTTGTACAATGAGTTCTACTATAGTTCCTGTGTTGTCTCTTGTTATATCCAATAGAATTGGCTATATCATCACACATAGTATAATTGAATATATAAGCATATAATAAAAACACAACATTGTATATAGTATAGAACTTCAGAAACCGGCAGTTATCAAACCAGAATGTGCATTGTAGAGTCTTGTTATCTTCAGTGTAGTTGCCTATACTCTCAGACTTGATACTATCAATTGGATCAGTTTTGAGTAAAACCTTCTCTGCCTCATTTCTGTTATGCTTTTTTTTTTGCCATCAGTTATCTGCTTATTTCTTTATTCTGTTTTCTGCTCCATGCATTGAGGCCTCTCTGCCACTGTTCCTGGAATCCGAGTACTTTTTTCTGTCTCTAGAATGCCCTGCAGTATTCTCTGTAGAATTGGATTGGTGGTTGCAAATTTTCCAAGTTCCTCTTTGTTTTGGAAGCATCTTGTTTTTCCATTAATTTCTAGAGAGAGTTTAGCAGGGTACATCAATCTGGGATGGAGGTTATTTTCTTTCAGGGCTTGGAATATTTTGCTCCAGGCTCTTCTTTATTTTTATTTTTTAAAATTTGTTTAAAAGGAAAAAAAAACAAGACAAAACAGTGTAAGAGTACAAGTAATACAGGACTACAAAAAAAAAAAAACAAAACAAAAAAAAAAAACAAAACAGTAAGAAATCACCAGTTAATAGATTACACATTGTCATCTTAGAAACAGTTGCTCAAGTCACAGGATTAAAGCATACAAAGTGGACATTCAAACAGTGAGACTGCAAACAGTTGTGTTCCATGGTCCAACGTCAGTAATATGGTCATCTATCTAACACACATAAATACACTTGCAGTTGTATCCTTTAGAGCACTTTTTTTTCTCTCTTTTTTTACAACATTTTACACGTTTTGGGTTTTATTACTCCCACAGTTCTTATTACTCTCCTTTTGGAAGAAAACAAAACCAAATATGACAAAACAAAGCAGTCAGTCAAAACCAAGGATAGACATAGTACATGATGTAAAAACAGACTACAAGGTTATCAACAATGGTTACCATAATGTCACCTGCTTCCCTAAAAAGAATTGCCTATATCATTAGGTATAATTAATTTGAACAAAACAGTAGAGAACAAGACTAATAAAACCTAAACATTGTAAACATTACAGGACTTTAAAAAAAATAATAGTCAAACCAGAATGGGCATCATAGTGAATTTTATTGCCTTCAAAGTAGTTGCCTATACTCTCAAACCTGTTACTATCAAACAGAGGGGAACAGAGTCTGATGAGTCAAAACAAGATAGTGGGAGTAATACAGGACTTTAAATCAAGTTAATAGGAAATCAAAAAAGTTGCTATAATACATCCTACTAATTTTTTATTTTCCCCTTAATTAAAAAAAATAAAACAATAAAAATAAATAAATAATTTTTTAATGAATGAGGGGGAGATTGAGGTAAAAGAGGACATAGCAAAATAACAATACAGGTCAAAGCAACCTACTGCTTCACCACCAAATAATCTGACTTAATAGTAGTTACCATAGTGTCTTTTTCCTTGAAATATTTGAATATAACTTCGTATACTATAGCATCAGACATATCAAAACAGTGTGAAACCATTCAAGTGAATGAAAGTATTACAGGGTATTTAGAACCAGCTAACAGAAAATGAACAATGGTTTCTATATTATCTCTTTGCCTATAAAAATTTTTGTTTATACTATCACATATAATAAAATCCAGTAAGATACAACATGATAAAACCAATGGAGACAGAAGAGCAACAGTTTGGTGGGACATCAAAACAAGATGATATTAAATCAGCACTAGTTATTATGATATCTTATTTTCAAAATAGCTGTTCATTTCATCACAGGCAATAATATCAAGCAGCCCAGAATAAAGCCATTCCAGTTAATGAGTGAAAGTTTTATAAGGCTTCAAGGCCACACAATGAGGAATTATGATTACCACATACTTTTATATATTTGAATCATTTCTTATATTATTCACACATGTGAGATTGATTTATTTCACTTATGAGTATGGTCTCAAGCTGCGCCCATTTATTGATAAATATCTCAATGTGATCCCTCTTTATAGATGAGTAGTACTCCTTATATAGAAGTGTTGTGGAGTACCACAACTTTTTTATCAATCCCTCAGTTGATGGGCACTTGGGTTGTTTCCAAATCTGGCGATTACAAATTATGCTGCTATAAACATAGGTGCACATATATCACTGTGGTATGATGCTTTCAGTTCTTCTGGGAATATGCCTAGAAGTGGAATAGCTGGAACAATTGGGACTTCCAATCCCAGCTTTTTGAGAAATCTTAGACTGACCTCCACAAAGGTTGTACCAGTCTACACTCTCACCAAAATACACAGAGCATCTTGATGGACCCTATCTCCTGATCTATTCTGCCTGTGTTTCTTTTCATTAGTGTATCAATGCTATCTATTTTAGAGATTACAGCCAACCTTCTCTGCCTCATTTCTGCTATGCTGTTTTTCTGCCATTGGTTCTCTACTTTTCCCCTTCATTCCACTATCTGCCCCATCATTGAGAACAAATTTAAATAAATGCAAAAGGGTTGAAATTATCCCTTGCATGCTATCGGACCATAGCACTATGAAATTAGAAATTAATGATAAAAGATACTGCAAAAATCCCACAAACACATGGAAACTGAATAACACACTCTTGAGTAATCAGTGGGTCACAGAGGAAATTAAAGGAGAAATTATACAATACCTGCAAACAAATGAAAACACAAATACAACTTACTGGAATCTGTGGGATGCAATGAAAGCTGTCCTCAGAGGAAAGTTTATTGCACTGAGTTCCCACATCAGAAAAACAGAACAAATACAAATAAATAACCTTATGTTACACCTCAAACATCTAGAAAAAGAACAGCAAGTCAAGCCCAAAGCCAAAAGAGAAGACATTATTAAAATCAGCAGAAATCAATGCAATAGAGACTAAAAAAGCAATCCAAAAAAAAATCAATGAATCAAAGAGTTGGTTCTTTGAAAGAATAAATAAAATCGATAAGCCCCTAGCCAACCTTATTTTAAAAAAGGGAAGAAAAAGCTCAAATTCATGCAATAAGGAATGAAAGAGGCGAAATTACTACAGACGCTATAGAAATACAAAAGATCGTCAACACTTATTTCAAAAACCTCTACTCTTAAAGGTTTGATAACACAGAGGAAATAGAAAGATTCCGAGAAGCATACAAAGTCCCAAAGCTAGGTCATGAAGATGTAAAACTACTGAGTAACCCAATTTATATTAATGAAATTGAAAACGTAACTAAATCTTTACCTACAAAGAAGAGCCCAGGCCCAGACGGATTCACTGCAGAATTCTACAAGAAATACAAAGAAGACCTAATGCCAACACTCCTCAAACTCTTCAATGAAATTGAAAGGGAAGCAATCCTTCCTAAATCGTTCCTAGAAGCAAATATTACTCTAGTACCAAAACCAGAGAAGGACCCAACTGAAAAAGTAAACTACAGACCAATCTCCCTCATGAACACAGAGGCAAAAATCCTTAATAAAATATTGACAAATAGGATGCAGTAAATCATCAAGAAAATCATAAACCATGACCAAGTGGGATGCATCCCAGGTATGCAGGGATTGTCCAATATATGTAAGTCAATAAATGTAATACACCATATTAGTAGAGTCAAAAGTAAGAATCACATCATTTCTGTAGATGCAGAAAAAGCTTTTGATAAGGTCCAACATTCATTTATGATAAGAACCTTGCAGAAAATTGGAATAGATGATCTTTACCTCAATATAATTTGGGCATCTATGACAAACCAACAGGCAATATCATATTAAATGGCCAGAAATTGAAGGCCTTTACTTTAAAATCAGGCACAAGACAAGGATGTCCCTTATCACCGCTCCTATTTAATATAGTACTGGAAATATTGGCCAGAGCAATTAGACAGAGAGAAATAAAAGGCGTTAAGATAGGAAAAGAAGTTAAATTATCATTATTTGCAGATGACATGATACTCTATATAGAAGATCCCCAAAACTCCATTGAAAGACTCCTAGATATAATAAATAAATTCAGTAATGTAGCTGGATACAGAATCAATACTCAAAAATGAATAGCATTCCTATACACTAACAATAAAATCACAGACAGAGAAATAAGGGAGGCCACACCCTTCACACTAGCAACCAAAAAATGAGATACTTATGAATTACTCTCACAAAAGAAGTGAAAGACCTATACAGGGAAAATTATAATACACTGAAAGATGAAATTGAAGATGATGTCAGAAAATGGAAAGACATCCCTTGCTCATGGATAGGAAGAATAAATATTGTGAAAATGGCCATTCTCCCAAAACTGTTATACAGATTCAATGCAATCCCAATAAAAATACCATCAACATACTTCATAAATCTAGAGAAATCCCTCCTAAAATTGATCTGAAGCGAGAAGAGACCTAGAATAGCAAGGACAGTTCTAAGGAGCAAAAGCAAGGCAGGAGGTATCTCAATCCCTGACTTGAAGTTATACTACAAAGCAACTAGTAAAATCAACAAGGTACTGGAACCAAAACAGAGCCGAAGATCAGTAGAATAGATTAGAAGATACAACCACAACTACAAACACTCAAACACCTTATCTTTGATAAAGGGGCCAAACATGTTGACTGGAAGGACAACAGCCTCTTTATTTAATAAATGGTATTGGAAAAACTGGCTCTCCATATGTTGAAAACTAAAACTAGACCCATGTCTATCACCATGCACTAAAATAAAATCTAAATGGATCAAAGATCTAAATATTAAAACAGAAACACTGAATCTATTGGAAGACAAATTGGGTAAAAACCTTGAAGACATAGGAGTAGGTAGAGAATTCACAAACAGGACTCAAACCGCACGGGAAATACTTCCCAGAGTCAATAATTGGGATTGCCTCTTATTAAAAAGTTTCTGCACGTCAAAAGAAATCTCCAGCATAGTGAAAAGAAAACCCACAAACTGGGAAAAAAATCTTAGTGAACTGCCCCTCAGGCAAAGGACTTCTGTCTAAAACATATAAAGAATTAGAAAGAATCAGACCCCCAAAATTCAAAGATCCAATCAAAAAATGGGCATCTGAGATGAATGAACAATTTTAAGATGAAGAAATGCAAATGGCAAATAAATAGATGAAAAAATGTTCACCATCACTGGTCATTAGAGAAACGCAGATTAAAACAACACTGATGTTTCATCTCACTCCTGAAAGAATGGCCAAGATCAAGAAAACCACCAACAACAAATGCTGGAGAGGCTGTGGGGAAAAAGGAACTCTCCTGCACTCTTGGTGGGAGTGTAGACTAGTACAACCATTGTGGAGGTCAGTCTGGAGATTTCTCAGAAATCTGGGACTGGAAGCCTCATTTGACTCAGCTATTCCACTTCTAGGCATATTCCCAGAAGAACTGAAGGCATCATACCACAGTGATATATGTCAACCCATGTTTATAGCTGCACAATTTGTAATAGCCAGATCTTGGAAATAACCAAAGTGTCCATCAACTGAGGAATGGATAAAAAATTGTGGTGTTTTTATGCAATGGAGTACTACTCAGCTATAACGAATGATCACATTGAGATATTTATAAATAAATGGACGCAGCTTGAGACCATACTCATAAATGAAATAAATCAAACTCGCATGTATTAATACCAAATAGTTTCCCTAGTATAAGAAATGATAAGAATACATAAAAGTATGCGGTAATTATGATTCCCAACCATATTGGTTTGAAGCCATATGATATTTTCATTCGTTAATTGCAAAGGTTTTAACCTGGGTTGTTCGATTTTAGTATCTTTTTAAAAATAGCAAGAGGCACAATGGTAACCATTTTTGATCACCTGATATTCTATTTTTGCATCATGTACTATGCCCATCCTCTTGTTCTAACCGACTCTGTTTTGTTTAGTTACATTAGGTTTTATTCTCTTCAAAAAAAGTAATAAGAACTGTGGGAGTAAAAAAACCCCAAAAAGTGCAATTGTTATTGTAAAAAAGAGAGGAAAGGAAGGTGGTCTAAGGGATATAACTGCATGTATGTTTGAGGTGTAGAATGGAAAACCATATTACTAAGCTTTTGTTGGATCATTGAATGGAACTGTCTGCAATCTCACTGTATGAATGTCCACTTATGTGCTTTAATTTTATAATTTGGACAACTGTTTCTAAGATGACAATGTATAACCTATTAACTAGTGATTTCTTACTGTATATTTTTTTCTAGAAATTCTGTATTATTTGTACCCTGTTACTGCTTTGTTTTTTTGTTTGTTTGTTTGTTTGTTTCCTTTCTTTTTTCTCTTTAAATAAAAAAAAACATTATAGCTGGTTTGTAAAGTGTACTGGTTTTAGGACATGTTTTTTACAATATTCTATTAGATAACATGTAAGTCAACCTTTGTCTTGTTTCTACTGACTAGTGTGTGCTAAAAGTGATGTCTTGTGGCTTCCCAAACTAGGCGAAGAATGCTGTCTCACACTGTTGACCAGATGCGGAGGAAGACACTTAGAGCACCTGCCTGTCTCGGATATGGTTCCAGCCCATGGCCACCACACTCACACCCATCAGTGAACCAGCCCTCGATATTCCAGATCTGCAGCCTCCAGCTTGCACCAATGAGCTTAGGGGAGCAGAGACATGTTGTCCTCACCAAGCTGCTCTCAAGCCCTAGCGTTGGGCAGAAGATAAGTACTGTCTTAAACTACTAAATTGGGGGTAATTTACTACAATCCAGCATAAGTTTCATGTACAAGGAGGGAAAAAAAGAAGTTTTTAAAAACAGACAAGAAGAGGGCTGGGGATTTAGCTCAGCGGCATAAGTGCCTGCCTTGCAAGCAGGCAGTCATGAGTTCAATTCCCGGTACCGATAAAAAGGAAAAGAAAAAGAAAAAAAAAAAAAAAAACAGACAAGAAGAAAAAAAATTAATCAGAAATTAGCCCCCTAGTAGGTTCTCACAAATAATGAGGCTCATTTATCAATAACAGTGCTAAGATGATCAGCTTGAATAGAAGATAAATGTTGAGACGACTGAGGAAGAAGGCTTTCTAAAGTTCCTTTCAGTTGTAGGTTATTACTAGGAGGAAAACTGGTTTCTTTGGACTTTCTGATCAGTTAGGAGACATGAAAGAATGGAAAGCACATGAAAAATAATAGTTGAAAAGCAACAAAATTATTTGGTTTAATACTCAAAATCAGATATAAAGATTTCAACTACTGGGTTCTAAAACAGGTACTTCTGTATGCTTAGTAATTTGGTATTAAAACTTTATTTTCCTTTCTTTAATGAGGAAAAAGGAACACTGTGAAGCAATTTTTAATTTTTAATCTCAGAAGTACAACAAATGTAGTGTCCTTAGAAAGGGAAGAAAAGAAATACAGCTTTTCTTTAACCTGTTCAAGTGTGTTCACATGCAGAAGACCATATAACAACATTTCCCCACGGGATACAAATAGGCTTTGGAATTTTAAATTCATATCACTACTTTGAGTACTATCTGTCTTTGTCAAACTGCCTGAACACTGCTTGATTTTTATGAACTATACTCTTGAAAAATTATTCTTGGGCTGAACTGTTTAATCCATGAGCCCTGTAATGACTGATAATGGTTGCAGTGGCTGATACTCTGTTTTAACTTGAGAAATTCAGACATTTAAGGAAGTGACTCAACAGAAGCTCCATGTCCTCACTGTGTAAACATGCTCATCCTGTACAAGAGGGCACGGAGATGGTGTGAATGCTATACCCACTCTCGGGAGTGGTAGTCTGATTACAATACAAGGGAGGGAAACAGGCTTACTCTTTATTCTTTGGCTCAATGAAGCTCTTGCTGTCTCCTGTCAAGTGGAACTCTTGCCCCTTTGCCATGTCACTCTGCCCTTGAGCCAGATGATTATGGACTGAACCCTCCACAAACTCTGAGATAAATGAATCTTTCCTCCCTGAATTATTAGGGTTGAGTATTTTGTCTCAGAAATAAGAGAAAAGTAAACACCATGTTTATTGAAGGATAAAGCAAGGTTACTATCCTCTTTGGTATGTTAACATAATACACTAACTTATTCATCTTAGCTAAAGCCCAGAGATCAGAAACCAAAATGAAGAAAAATATATACTTAGCTCATTCAAGATTTCCTGCTGGTTTCTTCATTTTCTTTTTCAGGCTCAAAATCTCCATTTCGAGGCTTTTCACATTTTCTTTTAGGCGTAAATACTCCAATTGAATCCTAAAATATTGATTTCAAAATAATTATTTGCACAGATCTGTTAAAAAAGTCACATAACCTTTGAAAGAGTACTCACAATTTTAAAAGTTAGAAAAAGTAGATGATTTGGTAGGTAAGATTTTTCTCATTGTGCTTGTTGACACTTTTTCTTTGGCATTATTGGGAGTGAACACAGGGCTCCACGTGGAAAGCACATGCTCTCTCCTCACTGTACTATTTCTGCTCTCCTAAATTACTCCTTTCAGGTACATTTATCAAAGCTAGAATTTTCCCCTGGCCTAATGAAGATTTAGTACTTATATAACTGCAATATGTCTCATATTATGCTGCTGATTTCCTTGATAGATGCTCAAGTCATTTGGTTAAGCCATACCAGTCTAAGGGTTCTTCCATTTTTTCATCATGTTGCACAGAGCTTGTACCTTGATCTTGTGCTTCTGTCAACTGAAAATTAACAAAAGTGTTTATTAATAACCTGCCCATCCCTGGTGTTTGTTTCATAACTGTAGTGGACACAGCTATAATGCTCCACCTCCGTATGGTTTATAGTTACCTCTGTGCTGTGTCTACACCGTTAGCTGAACTGCTGACGCAGGGATCCAATGGCCCACACCTTACAAAATAACACCCTCTCCCCACTACTTAAGTTACCGACCCCAGCTCTAGGTCTGAAACATATTATATTCCTGATTTTAGACCTGTTAGCAGGTCCTCAAACTGACAAAACTAGAAGGTTAGCACAGTGCTATGGACCTGCATTCCTGGCTGCTTGGTAAGCTGATGCTTGAGACCAGCCTGGGCAACTGGGGGAGACAACTCTTTTGCAGGAAAGTATAAAAGTGAAAGTTTTGGTAAAATGGAGAGAAAGAGGAAGTCCCTTTACTTGTGCTGTCCTTTTAGTTGTATTTTTACATTCCACGCATCACATCCTACTTTATGGATTCCAAGTACTATTTATCAACTATGATATGAATAATGCTTATATGACTAAGAGCAATGCCAATGGTAATAATACAGAAATGACACTGCAGTAACATCTAGATGTCTCCAGGAACTGTTGGACAAACAGTATCTAGACAGACACCAGCATGCCTGGGCCCGAGTTCCAACTCCACCAGTCAATGGCAGTGGGAGCTCTATAAAATCTTTCCTATTAGGTATTATTGTGTTTTCTGTTTTGATAAAGTTTGATATTGTAGGAAAGCTGAGGCAAAAGTTTCCTGAGGTCAAGTGCAGTCTTGACATTTTAGTCAGAAGAGCTCTCAAAATTTAAATCAGAAGCTGGGCTTCGTGTCACACAGCTGTGATTCTGTCACTCAGGAGGCTGAGTCAACAGGGTTAGTGTAACCATGAGACCACCTTGGAGAGACACAGTAAATTCAAGGCCAGGCTGGGGTACACAAAATGTCTCGGCACAGGGGTCATTTACACTTTCCCTGTCATTTGACAAGTGTTTCCAAGCTCGTTCAAGTTTTCCTGCTGGTTTCTTCATTTTCTTTTTCAGGCTCAAAATCTCCATTTCGAGGCTTTTCACATTTTCTTTTAGGCGTAAATACTCCAATTCAATCCTAAAATATTGATTTCAAAATAATTATTTGCACAGATCTGTTAAAAAAGTCACATAACCTTTGAAAGAGTACTCACAATTTTAAAAGTTAGAAAAAGTAGATGATTTGGTAGGTAAGATTTTTCTCATTGTGCTTGTTGACACTTTTTCTTTGGCATTATTGGGAGTGAACACAGGGCTCCACGTGGAAAGCACATGCTCTCTCCTCACTGTACTATTTCTGCTCCCCTAAATTACTCCTTTCAGGTACATTTATCAAAGCTAGAATTTTCCCCTGGCCTAATGAAGATTTAGTACTTATATAACTGCAATATGTCTCATATTATGCTGCTGATTTCCTTGATAGATGCTCAAGTCATTTGGTTAAGCCATACCTGTCTAAGGGTTCTTCCATTTTTTCATCATGTTGCACAGAGCTTGTACCTTGATCTTGTGCTTCTGTCAACTGAAAATTAACAAAAGTGTTTATTAATAACCTGCCCATCCCTGGTGTTTGTTTCATAACTGTAGTGGACACAGCTATAATGCTCCACCTCCGTATGGTTTATAGTTACCTCTGTGCTGTGTCTACACCGTTAGCTGAACTGCTGACGCAGGGATCCAATGGCCCACACCTTACAAAATAACACCCTCTCCCCACTACTTAAGTTACCGACCCCAGCTCTAGGTCTGAAACATATTATATTCCTGATTTTAGACCTGTTAGCAGGTCCTCAAACTGATAAAACTAGAAGGTTAGCACAGTGCTATGGACCTGCATTCCTGGCTGCTTGGTAAGCTGATGCTTGAGACCAGCCAGGGCAACTGGGGGAGACAACTCTTTTGCAGGAAAGTATAAAAGTGAAAGTTTTGGTAAAATGGAGGGAAAGAGGAAGTCCCTTTACTTGTGCTGTCCTTTTAGTTGTATTTTTACATTCCACGCATCACATCCTACTTTATGGATTCCAAGTACTATTTATCAACTATGATATGAATAATGCTTATATGACTAAGAGCAATGCCAATGATAATAATACAGAAATGACACTGCAGTAACATCTAGATGTCTCTAGGAACTGTTGGACAAACAGTATCTAGACAGACACCAGCATGCCTGGGCCAGAGTGCCAACTCCACCAGTCAATGGCAGTGGGAGCTCTATAAAATCTTTCCTATTAGGTATTATTGTGTTTTCTGTTTTGATAAAGTTTGATATTGTAGGAAAGCTGAGGCAAAAGTTTCCTGAGGTCAAGTGCAGTCTTGACATTTTAGTCAGAAGAGCTCTCAAAATTTAAATCAGAAGCTGGGCTTCGTGTCACACAGCTGTGATTCTGTCACTCAGGAGGCTGAGTCAACAGGGTTAGTGTAACCATGAGACCACCTTGGAGAGACACAGTAAATTCAAGGCCAGGCTGGGGTACACAAAATGTCTCGGCACAGGGGTCATTTACACTTTCCCTGTCATTTGACAAGTGTTTCCAAGCTCGTTCAAGTTTTCCTGCTGGTTTCTTCATTTTCTTTTTCAGGCTCAAAATCTCCATTTCGAGGCTTTTCACATTTTCTTTTAGGCGTAAATACTCCAATTCAATCCTAAAATATTGATTTCAAAATAATTATTTGCACAGATCTGTTAAAAAAGTCACATAACCTTTGAAAGAGTACTCACAATTTTAAAAGTTAGAAAAAGTAGATGATTTGGTAGGTAAGATTTTTCTCATTGTGCTTGTTGACACTTTTTCTTTGGCATTATTGGGAGTGAACACAGGGCTCCACGTGGAAAGCACATGCTCTCTCCTCACTGTACTATTTCTGCTCCCCTAAATTACTCCTTTCAGGTACATTTATCAAAGCTAGAATTTTCCCCTGGCCTAATGAAGATTTAGTACTTATATAACTGCAATATGTCTCATATTATGCTGCTGATTTCCTTGATAGATGCTCAAGTCATTTGGTTAAGCCATACCTGTCTAAGGGTTCTTCCATTTTTTCATCATGTTGCACAGAGCTTGTACCTTGATCTTGTGCTTCTGTCAACTGAAAATTAACAAAAGTGTTTATTAATAACCTGCCCATCCCTGGTGTTTGTTTCATAACTGTAGTGGACACAGCTATAATGCTCCACCTCCGTATGGTTTATAGTTACCTCTGTGCTGTGTCTACACCATTAGCTGAACTGCTGACGCAGGGATCCAATGGCCCACACCTTACAAAATAACACCCTCTCCCCACTACTTAAGTTACCGACCCCAGCTCTAGGTCTGAAACATATTATATTCCTGATTTTAGACCTGTTAGCAGGTCCTCAAACTGACAAAACTAGAAGGTTAGCACAGTGCTATGGACCTGCATTCCTGGCTGCTTGGTAAGCTGATGCTTGAGACCAGCCTGGGCAACTGGGGGAGACAACTCTCTTGCAGGAAAGTATAAAAGTGAAAGTTTTGGTAAAATGGAGAGAAAGAGGAAGTCCCTTTACTTGTGCTGTCCTTTTAGTTGTATTTTTACATTCCACGCATCACATCCTACTTTATGGATTCCAAGTACTATTTATCAACTATGATATGAATAATGCTTATATGACTAAGAGCAATGCCAATGATAATAATACAGAAATGACACTGCAGTAACATCTAGATGTCTCCAGGAACTGTTGGACAAACAGTATCTAGACAGACACCAGCATGCCTGGGCCCGAGTTCCAACTCCACCAGTCAATGGCAGTGGGAGCTCTATAAAATCTTTCCTATTAGGTATTATTGTGTTTTCTGTTTTGATAAAGTTTGATATTGTAGGAAAGCTGAGGCAAAAGTTTCCTGAGGTCAAGTGCAGTCTTGACAATTTAGTCAGAAGAGCTCTCAAAATTTAAATCCGAAGCTGGGCTTCGTGTCACACAGCTGTGATTCTGTCACTCAGGAGGCTGAGTCAACAGGGTTAGTGTAACCATGAGACCACCTTGGAGAGGCACAGTAAATTCAAGGCCAGGCTGGGGTACACAAAATGTCTCGGCACAGGGGTCATTTACACTTTCCCTGTCATTTGACAAGTGTTTCCAAGCTCGTTCAAGTTTTCCTGCTGGTTTCTTCATTTTCTTTTTCAGGCTCAAAATCTCCATTTCGAGGCTTTTCACATTTTCTTTTAGGCGTAAATACTCCAATTCAATCCTAAAATATTGATTTCAAAATAATTATTTGCACAGATCTGTTAAAAAAGTCACATAACCTTTGAAAGAGTACTCACAATTTTAAAAGTTAGAAAAAGTAGATGATTTGGTAGGTAAGATTTTTCTCATTGTGCTTGTTGACACTTTTTCTTTGGCATTATTGGGAGTGAACACAGGGCTCCACGTGGAAAGCACATGCTCTCTCCTCACTGTACTATTTCTGCTCCCCTAAATTACTCCTTTCAGGTACATTTATCAAAGCTAGAATTTTCCCGTGGCCTAATGAAGATTTAGTACTTATATAACTGCAATATGTCTCATATTATGCTGCTGATTTCCTTGATAGATGCTCAAGTCATTTGGTTAAGCCATACCTGTCTAAGGGTTCTTCCATTTTTTCATCATGTTGCACAGAGCTTGTACCTTGATCTTGTGCTTCTGTCAACTGAAAATTAACAAAAGTGTTTATTAATAACCTGCCCATACCTGGTGTTTGTTTCATAACTGTAGTGGACACAGCTATAATGCTCCACCTCCGTATGGTTTATAGTTACCTCTGTGCTGTGTCTACACCGTTAGCTGAACTGCTGACGCAGGGATCCAATGGCCCACACCTTACAAAATAACACCCTCTCCCCACTACTTAAGTTACCGACGCCAGCTCTAGGTCTGAAACATATTATATTCCTGATTTTAGACCTGTTAGCAGGTCCTCAAACTGACAAAACTAGAAGGTTAGCACAGTGCTATGGACCTGCATTCCTGGCTGCTTGGTAAGCTGATGCTTGAGACCAGCCTGGGCAACTGGGGGAGACAACTCTTTTGCAGGAAAGTATAAAACTGAAAGTTTTGGTAAAATGGAGAGAAAGAGGAAGTCCCTTTACTTGTGCTGTCCTTTTAGTTGTATTTTTACATTCCACGCATCACATCCTACTTTATGGATTCCAAGTACTATTTATCAACTATGATATGAATAATGCTTATATGACTAAGAGCAATGCCAATGATAATAATACAGAAATGACACTGCAGTAACATCTAGATGTCTCCAGGAACTGTTGGACAAACAGTATCTAGACAGACACCAGCATGCCTGGGCCCGAGTTCCAACTCCACCAGTCAATGGCAGTGGGAGCTCTATAAAATCTTTCCTATTAGGTATTATTGTGTTTTCTGTTTTGATAAAGTTTGATATTGTAGGAAAGCTGAGGCAAAAGTTTCCTGAGGTCAAGTGCAGTCTTGACAATTTAGTCAGAAGAGCTCTCAAAATTTAAATCCGAAGCTGGGCTTCGTGTCACACAGCTGTGATTCTGTCACTCAGGAGGCTGAGTCAACAGGGTTAGTGTAACCATGAGACCACCTTGGAGAGGCACAGTAAATTCAAGGCCAGGCTGGGGTACACAAAATGTCTCGGCACAGGGGTCATTTACACTTTCCCTGTCATTTGACAAGTGTTTCCAAGCTCGTTCAAGTTTTCCTGCTGGTTTCTTCATTTTCTTTTTCAGGCTCAAAATCTCCATTTCGAGGCTTTTCACATTTTCTTTTAGGCGTAAATACTCCAATTCAATCCTAAAATATTGATTTCAAAATAATTATTTGCACAGATCTGTTAAAAAAGTCACATAACCTTTGAAAGAGTACTCACAATTTTAAAAGGTAGAAAAAGTAGATGATTTGGTAGGTAAGATTTTTCTCATTGTGCTTGTTGACACTTTTTCTTTGGCATTATTGGGAGTGAACACAGGGCTCCACGTGGAAAGCACATGCTCTCTCCTCACTGTACTATTTCTGCTCCCCTAAATTACTCCTTTCAGGTACATTTATCAAAGCTAGAATTTTCCCCTGGCCTAATGAAGATTTAGTACTTATATAACTGCAATATGTCTCATATTATGCTGCTGATTTCCTTGATAGATGCTCAAGTCATTTGGTTAAGCCATACCTGTCTAAGGGTTCTTCCATTTTTTCATCATGTTGCACAGAGCTTGTACCTTGATCTTGTGCTTCTGTCAACTGAAAATTAACAAAAGTGTTTATTAATAACCTGCCCATCCCTGGTGTTTGTTTCATAACTGTAGTGGACACAGCTATAATGCTCCACCTCCGTATGGTTTATAGTTACCTCTGTGCTGTGTCTACACCGTTAGCTGAACTGCTGACGCAGGGATCCAATGGCCCACACCTTACAAAATAACACCCTCTCCCCACTACTTAAGTTACCGACCCCAGCTCTAGGTCTGAAACATATTATATTCCTGATTTTAGACCTGTTAGCAGGTCCTCAAACTGACAAAACTAGAAGGTTAGCACAGTGCTATGGACCTGCATTCCTGGCTGCTTGGTAAGCTGATGCTTGAGACCAGCCTGGGCAACTGGGGGAGACAACTCTTTTGCAGGAAAGTATAAAAGTGAAAGTTTTGGTAAAATGGAGAGAAAGAGGAAGTCCCTTTACTTGTGCTGTCCTTTTAGTTGTATTTTTACATTCCACGCATCACATCCTACTTTATGGATTCCAAGTACTATTTATCAACTATGATATGAATAATGCTTATATGACTAAGAGCAATGCCAATGATAATAATACAGAAATGACACTGCAGTAACATCTAGATGTCTCCAGGAACTGTTGGACAAACAGTATCTAGACAGACACCAGCATGCCTGGGCCCGAGTTCCAACTCCACCAGTCAATGGCAGTGGGAGCTCTATAAAATCTTTCCTATTAGGTATTATTGTGTTTTCTGTTTTGATAAAGTTTGATATTGTAGGAAAGCTGAGGCAAAAGTTTCCTGAGGTCAAGTGCAGTCTTGACAATTTAGTCAGAAGAGCTCTCAAAATTTAAATCCGAAGCTGGGCTTCGTGTCACACAGCTGTGATTCTGTCACTCAGGAGGCTGAGTCAACAGGGTTAGTGTAACCATGAGACCACCTTGGAGAGGCACAGTAAATTCAAGGCCAGGCTGGGGTACACAAAATGTCTCGGCACAGGGGTCATTTACACTTTCCCTGTCATTTGACAACTGTTTCCAAGCTCGTTCAAGTTTTCCTGCTGGTTTCTTCATTTTCTTTTTCAGGCTCAAAATCTCCATTTCGAGGCTTTTCACATTTTCTTTTAGGCGTAAATACTCCAATTCAATCCTAAAATATTGATTTCAAAATAATTATTTGCACAGATCTGTTAAAAAAAGTCACATAACCTTTGAAAGAGTACTCACAATTTTAAAAGGTAGAAAAAGTAGATGATTTGGTAGGTAAGATTTTTCTCATTGTGCTTGTTGACACTTTTTCTTTGGCATTATTGGGAGTGAACACAGGGCTCCACGTGGAAAGCACATGCTCTCTCCTCACTGTACTATTTCTGCTCCCCTAAATTACTCCTTTCAGGTACATTTATCAAAGCTAGAATTTTCCCCTGGCCTAATGAAGATTTAGTACTTATATAACTGCAATATGTCTCATATTATGCTGCTGATTTCCTTGATAGATGCTCAAGTCATTTGGTTAAGCCATACCTGTCTAAGGGTTCTTCCATTTTTTCATCATGTTGCACAGAGCTTGTACCTTGATCTTGTGCTTCTGTCAACTGAAAATTAACAAAAGTGTTTATTAATAACCTGCCCATCCCTGGTGTTTGTTTCATAACTGCAGTGGACACAGCTATAATGCTCCACCTCCGTATGGTTTATAGTTACCTCTGTGCTGTGTCTACACCGTTAGCTGAACTGCTGACGCAGGGATCCAATGGCCCACACCTTACAAAATAACACCCTCTCCCCACTACTTAAGTTACCGACCCCAGCTCTAGGTCTGAAACATATTATATTCCTGATTTTAGACCTGTTAGCAGGTCCTCAAACTGACAAAACTAGAAGGTTAGCACAGTGCTATGGACCTGCATTCCTGGCTGCTTGGTAAGCTGATGCTTGAGACCAGCCTGGGCAACTGGGGGAGACAACTCTTTTGCAGGAAAGTATAAAAGTGAAAGTTTTGGTAAAATGGAGAGAAAGAGGAAGTCCCTTTACTTGTGCTGTCCTTTTAGTTGTATTTTTACATTCCACGCATCACATCCTACTTTATGGATTCCAAGTACTATTTATCAACTATGATATGAATAATGCTTATATGACTAAGAGCAATGCCAATGATAATAATACAGAAATGACACTGCAGTAACATCTAGATGTCTCCAGGAACTGTTGGACAAACAGTATCTAGACAGACACCAGCATGCCTGGGCCCGAGTTCCAACTCCACCAGTCAATGGCAGTGGGAGCTCTATAAAATCTTTCCTATTAGGTATTATTGTGTTTTCTGTTTTGATAAAGTTTGATATTGTAGGAAAGCTGAGGCAAAAGTTTCCTGAGGTCAAGTGCAGTCTTGACAATTTAGTCAGAAGAGCTCTCAAAATTTAAATCCGAAGCTGGGCTTCGTGTCACACAGCTGTGATTCTGTCACTCAGGAGGCTGAGTCAACAGGGTTACTGTAACCATGAGACCACCTTGGAGAGGCACAGTAAATTCAAGGCCAGGCTGGGGTACACAAAATGTCTCGGCACAGGGGTCATTTACACTTTCCCTGTCATTTGACAAGTGTTTCCAAGCTCGTTCAAGTTTTCCTGCTGGTTTCTTCATTTTCTTTTTCAGGCTCAAAATCTCCATTTCGAGGCTTTTCACATTTTCTTTTAGGCGTAAATACTCCAATTCAATCCTAAAATATTGATTTCAAAATAATTATTTGCACAGATCTGTTAAAAAAAGTCACATAACCTTTGAAAGAGTACTCACAATTTTAAAAGTTAGAAAAAGTAGATGATTTGGTAGGTAAGATTTTTCTCATTGTGCTTGTTGACACTTTTTCTTTGGCATTATTGGGAGTGAACACAGGGCTCCACGTGGAAAGCACATGCTCTCTCCTCACTGTACTATTTCTGCTCCCCTAAATTACTCCTTTCAGGTACATTTATCAAAGCTAGAATTTTCCCCTGGCCTAATGAAGATTTAGTACTTATATAACTGCAATATGTCTCATATTATGCTGCTGATTTCCTTGATAGATGCTCAAGTCATTTGGTTAAGCCATACCTGTCTAAGGGTTCTTCCATTTTTTCATCATGTTGCACAGAGCTTGTACCTTGATCTTGTGCTTCTGTCAACTGAAAATTAACAAAAGTGTTTATTAATAACCTGCCCATCCCTGGTGTTTGTTTCATAACTGCAGTGGACACAGCTATAATGCTCCACCTCCGTATGGTTTATAGTTACCTCTGTGCTGTGTCTACACCGTTAGCTGAACTGCTGACGCAGGGATCCAATGGCCCACACCTTACAAAATAACACCCTCTCCCCACTACTTAAGTTACCGACCCCAGCTCTAGGTCTGAAACATATTATATTCCTGATTTTAGACCTGTTAGCAGGTCCTCAAACTGACAAAACTAGAAGGTTACCACAGTGCTATGGACCTGCATTCCTGGCTGCTTGGTAAGCTGATGCTTGAGACCAGCCTGGGCAACTGGGGGAGACAACTCTTTTGCAGGAAAGTATAAAAGTGAAAGTTTTGGTAAAATGGAGAGAAAGAGGAAGTCCCTTTACTTGTGCTGTCCTTTTAGTTGTATTTTTACATTCCACGCATCACATCCTACTTTATGGATTCCAAGTACTATTTATCAACTATGATATGAATAATGCTTATATGACTAAGAGCAATGCCAATGATAATAATACAGAAATGACACTGCAGTAACATCTAGATGTCTCCAGGAACTGTTGGACAAACAGTATCTAGACAGACACCAGCATGCCTGGGCCCGAGTTCCAACTCCACCAGTCAATGGCAGTGGGAGCTCTATAAAATCTTTCCTATTAGGTATTATTGTGTTTTCTGTTTTGATAAAGTTTGATATTGTAGGAAAGCTGAGGCAAAAGTTTCCTGAGGTCAAGTGCAGTCTTGACAATTTAGTCAGAAGAGCTCTCAAAATTTAAATCCGAAGCTGGGCTTCGTGTCACACAGCTGTGATTCTGTCACTCAGGAGGCTGAGTCAACAGGGTTACTGTAACCATGAGACCACCTTGGAGAGACACAGTAAATTCAAGGCCAGGCTGGGGTACACAAAATGTCTCGGCACAGGGGTCATTTACACTTTCCCTGTCATTTGACAAGTGTTTCCAAGCTCGTTCAAGTTTTCCTGCTGGTTTCTTCATTTTCTTTTTCAGGCTCAAAAACTCCATTTCGAGGCTTTTCACATTTTCTTTTAGGCGTAAATACTCCAATTCAATCCTAAAATATTGATTTCAAAATAATTATTTGCACAGATCTGTTAAAAAAGTCACATAACCTTTGAAAGAGTACTCACAATTTTAAAAGTTAGAAAAAGTAGATGATTTGGTAGGTAAGATTTTTCTCATTGTGCTTGTTGACACTTTTTCTTTGGCATTATTGGGAGTGAACACAGGGCTCCACGTGGAAAGCACATGCTCTCTCCTCACTGTACTATTTCTGCTCCCCTAAATTACTCCTTTCAGGTACATTTATCAAAGCTAGAATTTTCCCCTGGCCTAATGAAGATTTAGTACTTATATAACTGCAATATGTCTCATATTATGCTGCTGATTTCCTTGATAGATGCTCAAGTCATTTGGTTAAGCCATACCTGTCTAAGGGTTCTTCCATTTTTTCATCATGTTGCACAGAGCTTGTACCTTGATCTTGTGCTTCTGTCAACTGAAAATTAACAAAAGTGCTTATTAATAACCTGCCCATCCCTGGTGTTTGTTTCATAACTGTAGTGGACACAGCTATAATGCTCCACCTCCGTATGGTTTATAGTTACCTCTGTGCTGTGTCTACACCGTTAGCTGAACTGCTGACGCAGGGATCCAATGGCCCACACCTTACAAAATAACACCCTCTCCCCACTACTTAAGTTACCGACCCCAGCTCTAGGTCTGAAACATATTATATTCCTGATTTTAGACCTGTTAGCAGGTCCTCAAACTGACAAAACTAGAAGGTTAGCACAGTGCTATGGACCTGCATTCCTGGCTGCTTGGTAAGCTGATGCTTGAGACCAGCCTGGGCAACTGGGGGAGACAACTCTTTTGCAGGAAAGTATAAAAGTGAAAGTTTTGGTAAAATGGAGAGAAAGAGGAAGTCCCTTTACTTGTGCTGTCCTTTTAGTTGTATTTTTACATTCCACGCATCACATCCTACTTTATGGATTCCAAGTACTATTTATCAACTATGATATGAATAATGCTTATATGACTAAGAGCAATGCCAATGATAATAATACAGAAATGACACTGCAGTAACATCTAGATGTCTCCAGGAACTGTTGGACAAACAGTATCTAGACAGACACCAGCATGCCTGGGCCCGAGTTCCAACTCCACCAGTCAATGGCAGTGGGAGCTCTATAAAATCTTTCCTATTAGGTATTATTGTGTTTTCTGTTTTGATAAAGTTTGATATTGTAGGAAAGCTGAGGCAAAAGTTTCCTGAGGTCAAGTGCAGTCTTGACAATTTAGTCAGAAGAGCTCTCAAAATTTAAATCCGAAGCTGGGCTTCGTGTCACACAGCTGTGATTCTGTCACTCAGGAGGCTGAGTCAACAGGGTTAGTGTAACCATGAGACCACCTTGGAGAGGCACAGTAAATTCAAGGCCAGGCTGGGGTACACAAAATGTCTCGGCACAGGGGTCATTTACACTTTCCCTGTCATTTGACAAGTGTTTCCAAGCTCGTTCAAGTTTTCCTGCTGGTTTCTTCATTTTCTTTTTCAGGCTCAAAATCTCCATTTCGAGGCTTTTCACATTTTCTTTTAGGCGTAAATACTCCAATTCAATCCTAAAATATTGATTTCAAAATAATTATTTGCACAGATCTGTTAAAAAAGTCACATAACCTTTGAAAGAGTACTCACAATTTTAAAAGTTAGAAAAAGTAGATGATTTGGTAGGTAAGATTTTTCTCATTGTGCTTGTTGACACTTTTTCTTTGGCATTATTGGGAGTGAACACAGGGCTCCACGTGGAAAGCACATGCTCTCTCCTCACTGTACTATTTCTGCTCCCCTAAATTACTCCTTTCAGGTACATTTATCAAAGCTAGAATTTTCCCCTGGCCTAATGAAGATTTAGTACTTATATAACTGCAATATGTCTCATATTATGCTGCTGATTTCCTTGATAGATGCTCAAGTCATTTGGTTAAGCCATACCTGTCTAAGGGTTCTTCCATTTTTTCATCATGTTGCACAGAGCTTGTACCTTGATCTTGTGCTTCTGTCAACTGAAAATTAACAAAAGTGCTTATTAATAACCTGCCCATCCCTGGTGTTTGTTTCATAACTGTAGTGGACACAGCTATAATGCTCCACCTCCGTATGGTTTATAGTTACCTCTGTGCTGTGTCTACACCGTTAGCTGAACTGCTGACGCAGGGATCCAATGGCCCACACCTTACAAAATAACACCCTCTCCCCACTACTTAAGTTACCGACCCCAGCTCTAGGTCTGAAACATATTATATTCCTGATTTTAGACCTGTTAGCAGGTCCTCAAACTGACAAAACTAGAAGGTTAGCACAGTGCTATGGACCTGCATTCCTGGCTGCTTGGTAAGCTGATGCTTGAGACCAGCCTGGGCAACTGGGGGAGACAACTCTTTTGCAGGAAAGTATAAAAGTGAAAGTTTTGGTAAAATGGAGAGAAAGAGGAAGTCCCTTTACTTGTGCTGTCCTTTTAGTTGTATTTTTACATTCCACGCATCACATCCTACTTTATGGATTCCAAGTACTATTTATCAACTATGATATGAATAATGCTTATATGACTAAGAGCAATGCCAATGATAATAATACAGAAATGACACTGCAGTAACATCTAGATGTCTCCAGGAACTGTTGGACAAACAGTATCTAGACAGACACCAGCATGCCTGGGCCCGAGTTCCAACTCCACCAGTCAATGGCAGTGGGAGCTCTATAAAATCTTTCCTATTAGGTATTATTGTGTTTTCTGTTTTGATAAAGTTTGATATTGTAGGAAAGCTGAGGCAAAAGTTTCCTGAGGTCAAGTGCAGTCTTGACAATTTAGTCAGAAGAGCTCTCAAAATTTAAATCCGAAGCTGGGCTTCGTGTCACACAGCTGTGATTCTGTCACTCAGGAGGCTGAGTCAACAGGGTTAGTGTAACCATGAGACCACCTTGGAGAGGCACAGTAAATTCAAGGCCAGGCTGGGGTACACAAAATGTCTCGGCACAGGGGTCATTTACACTTTCCCTGTCATTTGACAAGTGTTTCCAAGCTCGTTCAAGTTTTCCTGCTGGTTTCTTCATTTTCTTTTTCAGGCTCAAAATCTCCATTTCGAGGCTTTTCACATTTTCTTTTAGGCGTAAATACTCCAATTCAATCCTAAAATATTGATTTCAAAATAATTATTTGCACAGATCTGTTAAAAAAGTCACATAACCTTTGAAAGAGTACTCACAATTTTAAAAGTTAGAAAAAGTAGATGATTTGGTAGGTAAGATTTTTCTCATTGTGCTTGTTGACACTTTTTCTTTGGCATTATTGGGAGTGAACACAGGGCTCCACGTGGAAAGCACATGCTCTCTCCTCACTGTACTATTTCTGCTCCCCTAAATTACTCCTTTCAGGTACATTTATCAAAGCTAGAATTTTCCCCTGGCCTAATGAAGATTTAGTACTTATATAACTGCAATATGTCTCATATTATGCTGCTGATTTCCTTGATAATGCTCAAGTCATTTGGTTAAGCCATACCTGTCTAAGGGTTCTTCCATTTTTTCATCATGTTGCACAGAGCTTGTACCTTGATCTTGTGCTTCTGTCAACTGAAAATTAACAAAAGTGTTTATTAATAACCTGCCCATCCCTGGTGTTTGTTTCATAACTGTAGTGGACACAGCTATAATGCTCCACCTCCGTATGGTTTATAGTTACCTCTGTGCTGTGTCTACACCGTTAGCTGAACTGCTGACGCAGGGATCCAATGGCCCACACCTTACAAAATAACACCCTCTCCCCACTACTTAAGTTACCGACCCCAGCTCTAGGTCTGAAACATATTATATTCCTGATTTTAGACCTGTTAGCAGGTCCTCAAACTGACAAAACTAGAAGGTTAGCACAGTGCTATGGACCTGCATTCCTGGCTGCTTGGTAAGCTGATGCTTGAGACCAGCCTGGGCAACTGGGGGAGACAACTCTTTTGCAGGAAAGTATAAAAGTGAAAGTTTTGGTAAAATGGAGAGAAAGAGGAAGTCCCTTTACTTGTGCTGTCCTTTTAGTTGTATTTTTACATTCCACGCATCACATCCTACTTTATGGATTCCAAGTACTATTTATCAACTATGATATGAATAATGCTTATATGACTAAGAGCAATGCCAATGATAATAATACAGAAATGACACTGCAGTAACATCTAGATGTCTCCAGGAACTGTTGGACAAACAGTATCTAGACAGACACCAGCATGCCTGGGCCCGAGTTCCAACTCCACCAGTCAATGGCAGTGGGAGCTCTATAAAATCTTCCCTATTAGGTATTATTGTGTTTTCTGTTTTGATAAAGTTTGATATTGTAGGAAAGCTGAGGCAAAAGTTTCCTGAGGTCAAGTGCAGTCTTGACAATTTAGTCAGAAGAGCTCTCAAAATTTAAATCCGAAGCTGGGCTTCGTGTCACACAGCTGTGATTCTGTCACTCAGGAGGCTGAGTCAACAGGGTTACTGTAACCATGAGACCACCTTGGAGAGGCACAGTAAATTCAAGGCCAGGCTGGGGTACACAAAATGTCTCGGCACAGGGGTCATTTACACTTTCCCTGTCATTTGACAAGTGTTTCCAAGCTCGTTCAAGTTTTCCTGCTGGTTTCTTTATTTTCTTTTTCAGGCTCAAAATATCCATTTCGAGGCTTTTCACATTTTCTTTTAGGCGTAAATACTCCAATTCAATCTTAAAATATTGATTTCAAAATAATTATTTGCACAGATCTGTTAAAAAAGTCACATAACCTTTGAAAGAGTACTCACAATTTTAAAAGTTAGAAAAAGTAGATGATTTGGTAGGTAAGATTTTTCTCATTGTGCTTGTTGACACTTTTTCTTTGGCATTATTGGGAGTGAACACAGGGCTCCACGTGGAAAGCACATGCTCTCTCCTCACTGTACTATTTCTGCTCCCCTAAATTACTCCTTTCAGGTACATTTATCAAAGCTAGAATTTTCCCCTGGCCTAATGAAGATTTAGTACTTATATAACTGCAATATGTCTCATATTATGCTGCTGATTTCCTTGATAATGCTCAAGTCATTTGGTTAAGCCATACCTGTCTAAGGGTTCTTCCATTTTTTCATCATGTTGCACAGAGCTTGTACCTTGATCTTGTGCTTCTGTCAACTGAAAATTAACAAAAGTGCTTATTAATAACCTGCCCATCCCTGGTGTTTGTTTCATAACTGTAGTGGACACAGCTATAATGCTCCACCTCCGTATGGTTTATAGTTACCTCTGTGCTGTGTCTACACCGTTAGCTGAACTGCTGACGCAGGGATCCAATGGCCCACACCTTACAAAATAACACCCTCTCCCCACTACTTAAGTTACCGACCCCAGCTCTAGGTCTGAAACATATTATATTCCTGATTTTAGACCTGTTAGCAGGTCCTCAAACTGACAAAACTAGAAGGTTAGCACAGTGCTATGGACCTGCATTCCTGGCTGCTTGGTAAGCTGATGCTTGAGACCAGCCTGGGCAACTGGGGGAGACAACTCTTTTGCAGGAAAGTATAAAAGTGAAAGTTTTGGTAAAATGGAGAGAAAGAGGAAGTCCCTTTACTTGTGCTGTCCTTTTAGTTGTATTTTTACATTCCACGCATCACATCCTACGTTATGGATTCCAAGTACTATTTATCAACTATGATATGAATAATGCTTATATGACTAAGAGCAATGCCAATGATAATAATACAGAAATGACACTGCAGTAACATCTAGATGTCTCCAGGAACTGTTGGACAAACAGTATCTAGACAGACACCAGCATGCCTGGGCCAGAGTTCCAACTCCACCAGTCAATGGCAGTGGGAGCTCTATAAAATCTTTCCTATTAGGTATTATTGTGTTTTCTGTTTTGATAAAGTTTGATATTGTAGGAAAGCTGAGGCAAAAGTTTCCTGAGGTCAAGTGCAGTCTTGACAATTTAGTCAGAAGAGCTCTCAAAATTTAAATCCGAAGCTGGGCTTCGTGTCACACAGCTGTGATTCTGTCACTCAGGAGGCTGAGTCAACAGGGTTACTGTAACCATGAGACCACCTTGGAGAGGCACAGTAAATTCAAGAGCCAGGCTGGGGTACACAAAATGTCTCGGCACAGGGGTCATTTACACTTTCCCTGTCATTTGACAAGTGTTTCCAAGCTCGTTCAGGTTTTCCTGCTGGTTTCTTCATTTTCTTTTTCAGGCTCAAAATCTCCATTTCGAGGCTTTTCACATTTTCTTTTAGGCGTAAATACTCCAATTCAATCCTAAAATATTGATTTCAAAATAATTATTTGCACAGATCTGTTAAAAAAGTCACATAACCTTTGAAAGAGTACTCACAATTTTAAAAGTTAGAAAAAGTAGATGATTTGGTAGGTAAGATTTTTCTCATTGTGCTTGTTGACACTTTTTCTTTGGCATTATTGGGAGTGAACACAGGGCTCCACGTGGAAAGCACATGCTCTCTCCTCACTGTACTATTTCTGCTCCCCTAAATTACTCCTTTCAGGTACATTTATCAAAGCTAGAATTTTCCCCTGGCCTAATGAAGATTTAGTACTTATATAACTGCAATATGTCTCATATTATGCTGCTGATTTCCTTGATAGATGCTCAAGTCATTTGGTTAAGCCATACCTGTCTAAGGGTTCTTCCATTTTTTCATCATGTTGCACAGAGCTTGTACCTTGATCTTGTGCTTCTGTCAACTGAAAATTAACAAAAGTGTTTATTAATAACCTGCCCATCCCTGGTGTTTGTTTCATAACTGTAGTGGACACAGCTATAATGCTCCACCTCCGTATGGTTTATAGTTACCTCTGTGCTGTGTCTACACCGTTAGCTGAACTGCTGACGCAGGGATCCAATGGCCCACACCTTACAAAATAACACCCTCTCCCCACTACTTAAGTTACCGACCCCAGCTCTAGGTCTGAAACATATTATATTCCTGATTTTAGACCTGTTAGCAGGTCCTCAAACTGACAAAACTAGAAGGTTAGCACAGTGCTATGGACCTGCATTCCTGGCTGCTTGGTAAGCTGATGCTTGAGACCAGCCTGGGCAACTGGGGGAGACAACTCTTTTGCAGGAAAGTATAAAACTGAAAGTTTTGGTAAAATGGAGAGAAAGAGGAAGTCCCTTTACTTGTGCTGTCCTTTTAGTTGTATTTTTACATTCCACGCATCACATCCTACTTTATGGATTCCAAGTACTATTTATCAACTATGATATGAATAATGCTTATATGACTAAGAGCAATGCCAATGATAATAATACAGAAATGACACTGCAGTAACATCTAGATGTCTCCAGGAACTGTTGGACAAACAGTATCTAGACAGACACCAGCATGCCTGGGCCCGAGTTCCAACTCCACCAGTCAATGGCAGTGGGAGCTCTATAAAATCTTTCCTATTAGGTATTATTGTGTTTTCTGTTTTGATAAAGTTTGATATTGTAGGAAAGCTGAGGCAAAAGTTTCCTGAGGTCAAGTGCAGTCTTGATAATTTAGTCAGAAGAGCTCTCAAAATTTAAATCAGAAGCTGGGCTTCGTGTCACACAGCTGTGATTCTGTCACTCAGGAGGCTGAGTCAACAGGCTTACTGTAACCATGAGACCACCTTGGAGAGGCACAGTAAATTCAAGGCCAGGCTGGGGTACACAAAATGTCTCGGCACAGGGGTCATTTACACTTTCCCTGTCATTTGACAACTGTTTCCAAGCTCGTTCAGGTTTTCCTGCTGGTTTCTTCATTTTCTTTTTCAGGCTCAAAATCTCCATTTCGAGGCTTTTCACATTTTGTTTTAGGCGTAAATACTCCAATTCAATCCTAAAATATTGATTTCAAAATAATTATTTGCACAGATCTGTTAAAAAAGTCACATAACCTTTGAAAGAGTACTCACAATTTTAAAAGTTAGAAAAAGTAGATGATTTGGTAGGTAAGATTTTTCTCATTGTGCTTGTTGACACTTTTTCTTTGGCATTATTGGGAGTGAACACAGGGCTCCACGTGGAAAGCACATGCTCTCTCCTCACTGTACTATTTCTGCTCCCCTAAATTACTCCTTTCAGGTACATTTATCAAAGCTAGAATTTTCCCCTGGCCTAATGAAGATTTAGTACTTATATAACTGCAATATGTCTCATATTATGCTGCTGATTTCCTTGATAGATGCTCAAGTCATTTGGTTAAGCCATACCTGTCTAAGGGTTCTTCCATTTTTTCATCATGTTGCACAGAGCTTGTACCTTGATCTTGTGCTTCTGTCAACTGAAAATTAACAAAAGTGTTTATTAATAACCTGCCCATCCCTGGTGTTTGTTTCATAACTGTAGTGGACACAGCTATAATGCTCCACCTCCGTATGGTTTATAGTTACCTCTGTGCTGTGTCTACACCATTAGCTGAACTGCTGACGCAGGGATCCAATGGCCCACACCTTACAAAATAACACCCTCTCCCCACTACTTAAGTTACCGACCCCAGCTCTAGGTCTGAAACATATTATATTCCTGATTTTAGACCTGTTAGCAGGTCCTCAAACTGACAAAACTAGAAGGTTAGCACAGTGCTATGGACCTGCATTCCTGGCTGCTTGGTAAGCTGATGCTTGAGACCAGCCTGGGCAACTGGGGGAGACAACTCTCTTGCAGGAAAGTATAAAAGTGAAAGTTTTGGTAAAATGGAGAGAAAGAGGAAGTCCCTTTACTTGTGCTGTCCTTTTAGTTGTATTTTTACATTCCACGCATCACATCCTACTTTTTGGATTCCAAGTACTATTTATCAAGTATGATATGAATAATGGTTATATGACTAAGAGCAATGCCAATGATAATAATACAGAAATGACACTGCAGTAACATCTAGATGTCTCCAGGAACTGTTGGACAAACAGTATCTAGACAGACACCAGCATGCCTGGGCCAGAGTTCCAACTCCACCAGTCAATGGCAGTGGGAGCTCTATAAAATCTTTCCTATTAGGTATTATTGTGTTTTCTGTTTTGATAAAGTTTGATATTGTAGGAAGGCTGAGGCAAAAGTTTCCTGAGTCAAGTGCAGTCTTGATAATTTAGTCAGAAGAGCTGTCAAAATTTAAATCAGAAGCTGGGCTTCGTGTCACACAGCTGTGATTCTGTCACTCAGGAGGCTGAGTCAACAGGGTTACTGTAACCATGAGACCACCTTGGAGAGGCACAGTAAATTCAAGGCCAGGCTGGGGTACACAAAATGTCTCGGCACAGGGGTCATTTACACTTTCCCTTCTTCTGTTTAGTTTACTTCTCCCAGGACAAAACCTCATCAGCCATTATTTGGTATGGATTCCTTCTGCAGTGAGTCCTTCACATGGCATAGTGACTCACATGGGTTTCAATCTGAATTTTGCAATCTTCTAATCTAGGTTTGGAGGCCTTACTGTTAGAATGCCACCTGTTATAATTCACCTTTTTTTTCTTTTTTAATGTTGCTTTCCAATGGACCACATTGTCTTTTTTGAATATTTTCCAGTTGTACATGGTACCACTACCAATTTTTCAACATCTCAATACCTTTGTATATGACACTTAAAGTAAGATGATGGCCCCTGGCATTTTAATTCACAAATGATACCTTATCAACATGTCAGCATGTTATGTGTATGAAAAGTATAGTACAACAACAGGACTAATTTATTTGAATTCTAGAAAAAATTGTTTCTCCACATTTCATCATAGAAAACACTAGGCAGAATTCTGTAGCTCCCTTATAACAAGTCTTTTCTTGTTGTTGAGACAAAATAACCAGACTCACAAGTTAAGAGAGGAAAGGTTCAGAACTCACAGTTTATAGAGGTTTCAGTTCATAGTAGGCTGGCTCCAGAACAGGGAGGCATTGCAGAGGGGCATTACGGACCAGAAGACAAGCAGGAGCAGCAGCAGCAGCAGCAGCAGCAGCAGCAGCAGCAGCAGCAGCAGAATCAAGCTTTTTTCTGTCCCTACATCTTATCCAGGTACTCACCTTTAGGGCAGGTAGCACTCATACCCTTAATCTTAACATCACATCCTTGATCCCAGAACTATGCCAAACCAACCGGTGGACCAACTTGGTAATCACATATCCTGAATCCCAACATCATATTTTACAGATCTAGTCACCTATGAAAAAAACCCATCTATAGCTCCATGAGAGTTTGGGGGACAGGTAGGCAGGAGACATAGCAGCAAGCATCTGTGTAATGTAGCTCGATGGATCAAATTGCTGTGACTTTAAGAAATCAGTCAGTGGAAGGAGCCACCTCACATCTCCACTTCCATGCACACAATGTGTCCCTGTGGTCCTATTTCCCAGACAGGAGAACACGGGCCACAGGAGAATCTGCTCTGCCTGGTCAAGAGGTACATGGTTTTCATTACACATCAACAAACTGTCACCCAGTCTTATGCGTTACTCTTAGACTGGACAAGTTTAAATGGCTGATAAACACTAATCAATGGGGAAAAATCATGAAACTGCAAGCTAGGACCACTAGTTCCTCTGTAAGAGAAATATCCATTTCTACTTTGTTACTGGCATCTTTTTCCTTGCTTACAGTCAAAGAGAAATACAGTATCTCTGGGGAAAATGCTTGTGTAGCGCCCTAGTATCCATTCTTGGTGACCATATAAATTTCAAAATATCATGGAAAAGCTTTCATTGCAACAGATATTCAAAGCCTTAGATTCAGCAATTCAATTTCCTGGAATTTTAAAAGTTATTGTATCATATTAGCTGAGACTCATGACACACAGTAATATATCTATGTCCAGATCAGCATTATTCCCAAAGAAGTGTGGGGATAACTCTCAAATCCTTCAATGGATAATGGATAAACAAATGTGGTATGTGTAAAATAGGGATTTTAGGCTACAAAAATCTTTTGTAATAAAATATCACTGCCAAAGTCATGAATTGCATGAAACCATTTATCTTCCATAAAGTTAAGAGGACGTCACTATTGCTAGTAAGGAGGTATCAATATGATTACAACAAGTGTTTTTATCAGTGAAACTTTTCATACTGCCTAAAATATTCCTATGTACTAGCAGATAAATAAGAACTCCTTTCAAGTACGATAGAAATTAAAAACAAATGGACTCACCAAACTGTCATTTGACAAGTGTTTCCGAGCATGTTTAAGTTTTCCTGCTCGTTTCTTCATTTTCTTTTTCTGGCTCAAAATCTCCATTTCGAGGCTTTTCACATTTTCTTTTAGGCGTAAATACTCCAATTCAATCCTAAAATATTGATTTCAAAATAATTATTTGCACAGATCTGTTAAAAAAGTCACATAACCTTTGAAAGAGTACTCACAATTTTAAAAGTTAGAAAAAGTAGATGATTTGGTAGGTAAGATTTTTCTCATTGTGCTTGTTGACACTTTTTCTTTGGCATTATTGGGAGTGAACACAGGGCTCCACGTGGAAAGCACATGCTCTCTCCTCACTGTACTATTTCTGCTCCCCTAAATTACTCCTTTCAGGTACATTTATCAAAGCTAGAATTTTCCCCTGGCCTAATGAAGATTTAGTACTTATATAACTGCAATATTTCTCATGCTGCTGATTTCCTTGATAGATGCTCAAGTCATTTGGTTAAGCCATACCTGTCTAAGGGTTCTTCCATTTTTTCTTCATGTTGCACAGAGCTTGTACCTTGATCTTGTGCTTCTGTCAACTGAAAATTAGCAAAAGTGTTTATTAATAACCTGCCCATCCCTGGTGTTTGTTTCATAACTGTAGTGGACACAGCTATAATGCTCCACCTCCGTATGGTTTATAGTTACCTCTGTGCTGTGTCTACACCATTAGCTGAACTGCTGACGCAGGGATCCAATGGCCCACACCTTACAAAATAACACCCTCTCCCCACTACTTAAGTTACCGACCCCAGCTCTAGGTCTGAAACATATTATGTTCCTGATTTTAGACTGTTAGCAGGTCCTCAAACTGACAAAACTAGAAGGTTAGCACAGTGCTATGGACCTGCATTTCTGGATGCTTGGAAAGCTGATGCTTGAGACCAGCCTGGGCAATAGGGGGAGACTACTATTGTGCAGGAAACAATAAAGGTGAAAATTTTGGTAAAATGGAGAGAAAGAGGAAGTCCCTTTACTTGTGCTGTCCTTTTAGTTGTATTTTTACATTCCACGCATCACATCCTACTTTATGGATTCCAAGTATATTTATCAACTATATGAATAATGCTTATATGACTAAGAGCAATGCCAATGATAATAATACAGAAATGACACTGCAGTAACATCTAGATGTCTCCAGGAACTGTTGGACAAACAGTATCTAGACAGACACCAGCATGCCTGGGCCAGAGTTCCAACTCCATCAGTCAATGGCAGTGGGAGCTCTATAAAATCTTTCCTATTAGGTATTATTGTGTTTTCTGTTTTGATAAAGTTTGGTATTGTAGGAAAGCTGAGGCAAAAGTTTCCTGAGGTCAAGTGCAGTCTTGATAATTTAGTCAGAAGAGCTCTCAAAATTTAAATCAGAAGCTGGGCTTCATGTCACACAGCTGTGATTCTGTCACTCAGGAGGCTGAGTCAACAGGGTTACTGTAACCATGAGACCACCTTGGAGAGGCACAGTAAATTCAAGGCCAGGCTGGGGTACACAAAATGTCTCGGCACAGGGGTCATTTACACTTTCCCTTCTTCCTTTTAGTTTACTTCTCCCAGGACAAAACTTCATTAGCCATTGTTTAGTATGGATTCCTTCTGCACTGAGTCCTACACTTTGCATAGTGAGTCACATGGGTTTCAATCTGAATTTTGTGATCCTCTAACATGGGGCTGGTGGCCTCACTGTTAGAATGCCACCCAGTATAAGTCACCTTGTATTTCTTTTATAATGTTGCTTTCCTATGGGTTCACATCGCTTTTTTAAATATTTTCCAGTTATTGCATGTATATTTAAGTGTATAAGATAGAAAGTGAAATCACAGAGTTTTATTGGATCATGGAACAGAACTGTTTGCAGTATCATTGTTGGAATGTCCACTCTACAAGCTTTAATTTTGTGACTTGAACAATTATTTCTAAGATGGCAATATGTAATCCATTAACTAGTGATTTCTGAATGTTCATTTTTTTCTTCTGTAAATCTGTATAACTTGTACCCTTTCATGGTTTTTTTTTTCTTCTTTTCTCCTTAAATAAAAAAAAATATTTTCCAGTTATATATGGTACTACTACCAATTTTTCAACCTCTCAATACCTTTGTATATGACACTTAAAGTAAGATGATAGCCCCTGGCATTTTAATTCACAAATGACACCTTATCAACATGTCAGCATGTTATGTGTATGAAAAGTATAGTACAACAACAGGACTAATTTATTTGAATTCTAGAAAAAATTATTTCTCCACATTTTATCAGAGAAAACACTAGGCAGAATTCTGTAGCTCCCTTATAACAAGTCTTTTCTTGTTGTTGAGACAAAATAACCAGACTCACAAGTTAAGAGAGGAAAGGTTCATAAATCACAGTTTATAGAGGTTTCAGTTCATAGTAGGGTGGCTCCAGAACAGGGAGGCATTGCAGAGGGGCATTACGGACCAGAAGACAAGCAGGAGCCGCAGCAGCAGCAGCAGCAGCAGAAGCAGCAGCAGCAGCATCATCAAGCTTCTTTCTGGCCCTACATCTTATCCAGGTACTCACCTTTAGGGCAGGTAGCACTCACACCCTTAATCTTAACATCACATCCTTGATCCCAGAACTATGCCAAACCAACCGGTGGACCAACATGGTAATCACATACCCTGAATCCCAACATCATATTCTAGAGATCTAGCTACCTATGAAAAAACCTCATCTATACTCCATGAGGGTTTGGGGGACAGGTAGGCAGGAGACATAGCAGCAAGCATCTGTGTAATGGAGCTCGATGGATTAAATTGCTGTGACTTTAAGAAATCAGTCAGTGGAAGGAGCCACCTCACATCTCCACTTCCATGCACACAATGTGTCCCTGTGGTCCTAATTCCCAGACAGGAGAACACGGGCCACAGGAGAATCTGCTCTGCCTGGTCAAGAGGTACATGGTTTTCATTACACATCAACAAACTGTCACCCAGTCTTATGCATTACTCTTAGACTGGACAAGTTTAAATGGCTGATAAACACTAATCAATGGGGAAAAATCATGAAACTGCAAGCTAGGACCACTAGTTCCTCAGTAAGAGAAATATCCATTTCTACTTTGTTACTGGCATCTTTTTCCTTGCTTACAGTCAAAGAGAAATATAGTGTCTCTGGGGAAAATGCTTGTGTAGCGCCCTAGTATCCATTCTTGGTGACCATATAAATTTCAAAATATCATGGAAAAGCTTTCATTGCAACAGATATTCAAAGTCTTAGATTCAGCAATTCAATTTCCTGGAATTTTAAAAGTTATTGTATCATATTAGCTGAGACTCATGACACACAGTAATATATCAATGTCCAGATCAGCATTATTGCCAAAGAAGTGTGGGAATAACTCTCAAATCCTTCAATGGATAATGGATAAACAAATGTGGTATGTGTAAAATAGGGATTTTAGGCTACAAAAATCTTTTGTATTAAAATATCACTGCCAAAGTCATGAATTGCATGAAACCATTTATCTTCCTTAAAGTTAAGAGCACGTCACTACTGCTAGTAAGGAGGTATCAATACGATTGCAACAAGTGTTTTTATCAGTAAGATTTTCATAGTGCCTAAAATATTCCTACATACTAGTAGAGGAGGAACTGCTTTCTAGAACAATAGAAATTAAAAAGAAATGCACTTACCAATCTCTTGCTCAACAAGTGTTTCCGAGCTCGTTCAAGTTTACCCCCTTGCTTTTGAATTTTCTTTTTCAGGCTCAAATTCTCCAATTTGAGTGTTTGCACAGATCTGTTTAAAAAGTCACATAATCTTTGAAAGAGTACTCATAATTTTAAAAGTTAGAAAAAGTAGATGACTTGGCAAGTAAGATTTTTCTCATTGTGCTTGTTGACACTTTTTCTTTTGCATTATTAGGGGTGAACACAGGGCTCCACATGGAAAGCACATGCTCTCTCCTCACTGTACTATATCTGCTCCCCTAAATTACTCCTTTCAGGTACATTTATCAAAGCTAGACTTTTCCCTTGGCCTAATGAAGATTTACTACTTATATAACTGCAATATGTCTCATATTGTGCTGCTGATTTCCTTGATAGATGCTCAAGTTATCTGTATATCATTAAGCCATACCTGTCTAAGGGTTCTTCCATTTTTTCATCATGTTGCACAGATCTTCTACCTTGATCTTGGGCTTCTGTCAACTGAAAATTAACAAAAAGTTGATTAACAACCTGCCCATCCCTGGTGTTTGTTTCATAACTGTAGTGAACACAGCTATAATGCTCCACTTCCATATGGTTTATAGTTACCTCTGTGCTGTGTCTACACCGTTAGCTGAACTGCTGACGCAGGGATCCAATGGCCCACACCTTACAAAATAACACCCTCTCCCCACTACTTAAGTTACTGACCCCAGCTCTAGGTCTGAAATATATTATGTTCCTGATTTTAGACTGTTAGCAGGTCCTCAAACTGACAAAACTAGAAGGTTAGCACAGTGCTATGGACCTGCATTTCTGGATGCTTGGAAAGCTGATGCTTGAGACCAGCCTGGGCAATAGGGGGAGACTACTATTGTGCAGGAAACAATAAAGGTGAATATTTTGATAAAATGGAGAGAAAGAGGAAGTCCCTTTACTTGTGCTGTCCTTTTAGTTGTATTTTTACATTCCACGCATTACATCCTACTTTATGGATTCCAAGTACTATTTATCAACTATGATATGAATAATGCTTATATGACTAAGAGCAATGCCAATGATAATAATACAGAAATGACACTGCAGTAACATCTAGATGTCTCCAGGAACTGTTGGACAAACAGTATCTAGACAGACACCAGCATGCCTGGGCCAGAGTTCCAACTCCACCAGTCAATGGCAGTGGGAGCTCTATAAAATCTTTCCTATTAGGTATTATTGTGTTTTCTGTTTTGATAAAGTTTGATATTGTAGGAAAGCTGAGGCAAAAGTTTCCTGAGGTCAAGTGCAGTCTTGATAATTTATTCAGAAGAGCTGTCAAAATTTAAATCAGAAGCTGGGCTTCGTGTCACACAGCTGTGATTCTGTCACTCAGGAGGCTGAGTCAACAGGGTTACTATAACCATGAGACCACCTTGGAGAGGCACAGTAAATTCAAGGCCAGCCTGGGTTACGCAGCGAAACCCTGTCTCCAATAACCAGAAAGAAATTAATTAATCCAGGTATAGTTGCACATGTCTATTGTCCTAGCAATAGGGTTGGCTCATGCATGAGGCTGGCTCATTTGAGCCCAGGGCAACTTAGAGAGGCCCTGTTCAGAAAGAAACAAAAATTGCCCATGGATAAAGCTCTGTGGAGGACCCTGGGTTCAGTCACCAGTGCCAGAACTGTCTGGAAGGTGAAGAGGAGATAATGGAGTTTTCAGAATGGCCCAGGGCTCTGTACTGGGCTGTAATGAGAAAGGCACAGGTGGATGGGAGGAAGGAAAAAGGGAGATACTTTCCTGCTCCAAGGGACCTCCTCAGCTGACCTCAGGGGAGAGAAAGCAAAATGTTATGTTTTTGGCAGGTGGTGGACAATGGGACAGGCTTTTTGTGCAAGCTGAACTGGTCACTCATGATGAAGGTGGCAATAAATGCAGAGTATGCAGCCCAAAAGACATCCCTGCAGTCCAGTGAGACTCATCAGTTAGCTCAAGTAGTCAGTGGCACTTCATTTGTAACAACTCACAGCTTATTCTCACATAGCAGTGCCCAGTGGGCAATGATCACGCAAACAGTGCTTCCTGGGTTAAGCGGTATGTACATAACATGCCCATGAGTGGAGGCTAACCCACTGAGCTGATACTATTGGGCCCTGCTGCTAAATAAAGGTCCTCAAATCAATTCATTTGTAGCAACTGCTAGGCCTCTTCAGAAAGCAGTCTGATGTTCAAATGAACGGTGTGGTATGGTACTTCACAAGAGCTTTTAGGTTGGTCAAATGCCTGGTCTGTGAATCCTGCGCATAGCTATGTGATGAAGGCAAAACTCCACTTTTTCATGGTAAGGAAAATATGATCAATTGACATGAAATTCTCCATTAGATTGCGTACTTTCAATTTTGTATTTCTTAAAGTATTGTCAATGCTATTATGTCAATGTTTCAAAGAAATTATCGGTTATAGTATAATTAAGTCCTTAATAGTTTTTTGAGCCACAGTCTTGCTATTTCATGCCACCTGGCCTAGCACTCATAGCACTCACCCTGTCTCAGCCTCCCAGGACTGCGATTACAGGTGAGTGCCAACATGCAAGGCTGTGAATATTAAATTGCATAAATGAAATCTAAAATTTGTTAAAGAGTGAAAGCATTTATTAAATATAGGCACAAATGGTATAAAATAAAATTTCATTAAACACTTCACTAGCTTCAAAATTAGCTAAATCATAAGAATACTCAAATTGACACTTGTGTTCATGATTAAACTCCTTTCATTTCTTTATTCAGTAAACAAACTGAGCTATTAGATGTCAACATTTATAATAAATACAGTTAGCTGTATATGTGAGGTTTTCTGAGGGTGATTTAACATTTTGTTTTCAACCCACATAATAGGGACGTGTGATGTATAAGAATGTTTTGTTCAACACTGGACTGCATGCTCAACTATGGTCCTTGAAACGATATTGCCCAGTGATGTGGGAGATGTAAGTGTGTGTGGCCACCTGCTTACATTTGGATAATAATGAAAATAACAAACCACACATGCTTTGGATCATGTTCTCAATGTAAGCAATGCATGAGTAAATATGCAATCAAAGAAATACTACAATGCCGATACAACAGCAATATAAAATTTTCATCAAAGATTAATTTACCTGATTCACTTTTCAAGCCTTCACTTCCATTTCAAGTGTTGCATAAGAAATTTCAAGCTGTTGTTTTGCTTTAACTTCTTGAGAACATTTTTCCTTGAGACTTTTTTTCTTGTCTTCTTCTTTTAAGACAAGTCTGAAGTGAAACCTGCTTATTTAAAATGTATTTTTTAAGTAGATCAAGAAGCCAACCCCTGGGGCTGGAGATTTAGCTCAGCCGCTTAAGCGCCTGCCTTGCAAGTAGGCAGTTGTGAGTTCGATCCCTGGTACTGATAAAAATGAAAAAGACAAAAAAAAAAAAAAAAAAGAAGCCAACCCCTTCCTCTGAGTCAGTGACAGTCACAGGCCAAGGGAAGTAGAAATATGAAGCCAATGGCTTCCTGTGAGCCAGCAGTTGGGCTGGGAGATAAGAGCTGAGGCCCTCCCAACCCCTGCAAGCAACCAGCTGATCACAGACATACAGGCTGGGATAATAGCTACTGAGGCAGGAAGAAAAACAACTTAAGCCTGTAGTGTTTAGCATTTCACTTTGCAGGCCTAGCCCAGTGCTCTGAGCATTTACTTGGTGGAAAATAATATGCAGTATAGCAGCTATGGGAGAGTTCCTTCTACAGGTGAAAGCCACTGTTAATTCCCTATTATCTTGTTTTAAAGTTCTGTATCACTTTCAGGGTTTTGTTTGGCTTGTTTTAGTTTTATTCTGTTTTACTTTGTTTCATTTTATTCTGTTTATTGACAGCTATTTCAAAGATAACAAGACATACTATTGAAGCTGATGGTGATTTCTTATTATCTTGTTTTTGAAGTCTTCCATTGCTTTCATTATTTTGTTTTATTGGTTTCTGTTCTGTTTTGTTTCATTTTATAATGTCTGATGGTATGGCCGGCTATTTTGAAGACAACAAGAGGCGTTATGGTAGCCATTGTTGATTTCTTATGGTCTGGTTTTAAAGTTGTGTATCACTTTCACTGTTTTGTTTTGATTGGTTTTATTTATTGTTTTATTCATGTCAAAATAGAAGAAAATATAACATGCATTTTTTAGAAAATATAAAGTTCTTGCTATGATCTGGCTGTATATGTTGATTTAGTATCCTAATGAAATACTTTCAAATATTTTTCCTTCCTATCTGTCATATTTTATATCTTTCAATTTAATCTCTTCCAAAGGGCACACCTACTTGAAGAGTGTGTGTGTGTGTGTGTGTGTGAAACACAATTCTGAGTGGTAACATCTTATTTTATACATCACTAAGGTAGGTGAAGATATGCCAAGTAACTTGCACAGGTGCAAGTACAGACAGTAAGAATTTAAACCCAGGAATGTTCCACAGTACAGTGGATCCCCTAAATGCACAGTACTGGTCCTAGAGCACTTGCAATTGCAAAAGGCTGCAAATTTCAGATATGATCATAAAAATGCTTATCAATGCCTTTTTTATAGTTTAAACTCTATAAATATGCTATGACTTCTGGAATTACGTAATTTAATAAAATATTGTATTGATGAAACTTTAGTGTGGGGCATTTTGGCAGCATCATTGGGATCTTAGGGTTTTTAAGAACACAACTGACAACAATGGAGACAGACACATGCAGTGCATCAACCTGTTACAATGCAGAGATGGGTTACAAGGCAGCAAGCACTCCAAAGCCAGAAGAACTGAGTAACGTGTGAATGCACTACTCGCAAACCTCCTGCCAGAAACTCCTTGTGGAGGATCCCTGTGGTTGCCATGAAACTGTGGGGGGCTCTGTGAAAAAATGTTAGGATCCAACTAAAAATCAGTGAAAGAGTGAGGCTGAGAACTCTGAACTGTGACATCGTGGGAGTATGCCTTATGTTATGAAATAACTACCTTTAAGCATTTAGTGTTGTTAAGTGATGTTAAGACCACATTGACATTTCCCACAGCTTCAAACACTGATGGCACAGGCATGACTATCCTGCTGGGCAGCACTGAAAGGCATGCAAGTGTGGCTCCACTGTGATTGTGTTAATCCATATCAGCATCCATTGTCAGTTATAATCACATAATTTCTGAGTTTTACAAATATTCTTAAAAATTAAAATGAATAAACATATCTTTCTCTACTGATGGTTTCTAGTGGTGTATGAATACACTCTAAAATCTTAAGAAAATAACTCTTAAATGCTGCATTCTTGCTCAGAACACCTGCTTCCCTAACTTTGCCAGTGAAAGGTGTCTGAAGTGTTGTCCGATCATCCCCAGTAGTCAGCTTCCTGTGTGACCAGTGTTGAAACTGCTCTTTGTCAAATTCATTCGTGCTTCTCTTAGCCAATCTTTCTGCAGCAATGATGAGGCTGGGTATCCTCTTGCTTTCCCTGTAGACTACACTGTTCTGTTTTATTTCTAGAAAAGCAATTCCTGCTAACATTCCATTAAAGGAAAATAAAACATTTACAGAGGTTTTAACTTCCTCCATCTTTGACAGTGTCTTGTAATCTTTAAATACACATCACTTGTTGGAGACTAGCAAACAGGAAAAGGGCCTTTTTAGACACTAAGGAAGTCACAGATTCCGTGGAGTGCTGCTGTTGATGTTTATTCTTTACTTTCCTCAAAGGCACGTTGGGTCCACTGCTTTAAAAATAAAAAGTCATTTAAGCAACTCAATTCAAAAACAAGGTTACAACTCTAGAGTATGAAATTGTTCATTTTAAGCAGTAGATGAAAAATAATTTTTAAACAAAGCATTGGGTTGAAATTAGTCCAAGCCTATGAAAGGACTGACTGGAGTTGTGGCAACCCTGTGTTGATTCAGTCAACTGTCACTGGCTTCACCCACCAAACAACCAAGCCTCCAACCAAACAACCACTTAATGCTAATACTTTGCTTCCTGCAAGGCACACTAATATAGCTACAGATGGAAAATCACTTTCCTTCTGAAGTTTGGCCAGTTTTTAAATTCTACTCTTTGCAAAATCATATACAATGGTACCTGGGTTCACAAACTCAATTGTCTCCACAATCCTGATGGCAAAACAAACTGGACAAGAACTAAATCAAATCTAAACCAATTAAGATCAACACTGAACCTACCCACAGAACAAAAAAATTTTAGAGACAGCATCTTACCATGAGGTACAGGCTGGCCTAGAACTCATTTATGTAGCCAAGACAAGCCTCAAACTCACAGCAACCCTCGTGTCTCAGCATCCCAAGTCAAACTTGCTGGATTGCAGGTGTGTGCCACCTTGCTCAGCTCAACCACTAACTTTTATTTGGTTCTGACTCAACTCAGTTTGCAACCAGAATCACAGAAAAAAATCAAGATCAAGAACTGAGGTAGCACTCAGGCACCTGTGTTATAACAACACCATGCCCAACCAGCATAGCTCTCTCTTTCCAGAGGAAGCAACACAGTACATTCCAATTTTGTCTTTTAATTTCAGTTTAGAAAGTTTTAGTCCTTTGGACATCATATTTTTTGAAGCCTATTAAATTTACTATCTTTGTGTTTTATTTTTCTTAATAAACTACAAATGAAGCCTGCAATTCTTTTAATCCACTGTACTGTAAGTGAAACTACCCTAAAAGAATGAAGAATCACAATATTCAAAATTTCTTCCTAAATGAAAAAAATATTAATGTAGAGTAAAAACTAAAACTTTCAGAATGAATTTTCTTCCTGAACCCTTTTTTTTCTAGTACAGGAGGTTGAATCAAGAGTGTCCTAACACTGAGCGCTACCCCCAGTCCCTTTCTATTTTGAGGCAAGGACCTGCTCAGCTTCTTAAGCAGGATTTGCTTTTGCAATCCTTCTGCCTCAGCTTCCTAAGTCAAACCTTTGTAAGTGACAAATTAGCCTACTGTTTAAAATAATACACAAGGAGTAAACTCTACTCACACTGAGTAAATACTGACTAGCTACTCACTGTGTGCTACACCTTTTTGTATGCACTGGTGATATTGTAGTAAATACACACAAATTCTATGGACGACAGTAAAGTATACACTCCACAACAACAAATAAGACAGGAAAAACATAAAATATGTTTGAGGAAGGGAAATAAAGTAACTTTAATTTATAAATTGAATTTTGTAAGTTTTCTATATTCACTGCTGAAAAATACAGTGGAGTGCATTATCTGTAAAAATGAGACAATGATGTACACGTGGGAAACTTTAAAAGACTGGCTTAGTACATTAGCAGCAAACTAGGGTTTAGCATTAAGGTTTAGTGAATCATTGTCAGTGGAGCAATTCCAGTCTATCATCTAACTTTAAAATAAATTCTTTATTGGCAGTGCTGGAGACGAATCCCAAGGCCTCTTGTGAGTTAGGCAAGCGCTCTAATACAGAACTATCCCTCAGCTCTGTAGATCAATTTTGCTGAAATGTAGCCACAGACATTCATTTGTTGTCTACCTCAGATTCTAGATGACCACAAAAGAGATTTCATGCCATGAAGCCTAAAATATCTACTACTTGATCTTTGCAGAAAAAAGTTAATTCCTGATTTACTACTAAAAGACCCTTTGGTGACATTTTAAAGGATTTTTACCTAATATACTGAAAACTAATCAATCATGGATCCTCATGCAATCCTTTGGCAATATTCAGATGAACATGAAGGTCCAGATTATAGTACTTATATCCTGAGAAAAAGCAAAAGTCTAACAGCTACCAAATTTCTTGGTAATAAGATCTTCAGTGCAGCCTGCAACTTTCTTTGGCAACTTAGCACATATAACAAGTATTACAGCAAATTTGCTGAAGACGTATTATTAAACAATGCTTTAAAAATATTTTGTGAAATAATCACAATGAATATTATCTAAAGGCTCCATGCTATATTATTTTATGGATATAGCAATTCAATTATTTCCTTACTGCTAAGCATCTAGACTATCTCACACTTTATGAGAATGTTAATAGTTAATTCTTCAACATATGAATGTATATAGGTAACACATTTACATAATTATTATCAACCTGTTATACCAGTTTAATGCTCATATTATGTATATGAAGTATATACACTCACCAATTTTAGCCTAGAGGATATGTACATTAAATGTCTTTAATAGCTATGTACATGTGTGTGATCATGGATCTTGTATTCCTTTCCAAGGAGGATTCAGTTTCATAAGAGAAGGCATTAGATTAAAACAATGAAATCATTGAGATTTAATTAATGCTATTAAATTGTTCAAATGCACTTAATAATTTCACTTACTAACAGTACATAATGATGTCTGTTTCCTCAGACTGGCTAATTCATCCAAATGTTTAAAAAACATTTCTCAAGACAATTGGAAAAATGATATCTAAATTGTCTGTATTTTTCTGACAGTCATTCAAAGCTGAGTATCTCTAGTAAAAGCAAATAACTTCTTAATCACAAATACAGGCTCACGTTAGATTTTGTTGTACAGAACAGTAACTATTTATGGTCAAATATTTCCATAGTCTTACCTATCATGTTCTTCTTTCTTCTCAGTAGGCAACTGCTGGGTGTCAGTTTTTCCACTCTTTCTTTTTCCTTCAACCTTTAAAGAAAGTTTGATGTAAAGGAAAACTTACTTTTCACTCACTGACTTTATTAAATATTTTGTTCTTTGTATCACTTGACTCAGTTCAGCTGTCATAATTTCAGTCCAGAAAGACATGTATTTTTTTCTGCAGCACTGGTGATTGAAGCCAGGACCTTCACCCTGAATTATATCCTCCACCCTTTATATTAAATTTTCTGACAGGACATCACTGGGATCATGTCACCAAGGCTGGAATCAAACATGTGATCTTCCTGCCTCAGCCTTCCAGGGTATTGGGAGTACAGGAATGTGCCACCACACTGAGGCATAAACAATATTTTTGTGTCTACTTTATCATTACAGGTCAATGAAATTTTTGCACATTCTGCTCCATTTTTGTTTGAGTGAAAGAAACAGAACTTTCCAAATTTTGAAAAGCACTAGGTTTTATTTTCATTCACCTTGCTATCCAACATTTTCATCCCCTGTATTATTGGTAGAAATAAAAAGTCAAAGGCATAGTGGGTCTTTTGTTTAGAGAATGTGTTACTGTAGGGCTTTCTGGAACAAAAGAATCTTACAATTTCAGGATCAAGGTATTCTTTCCCTTGCTTTTCACAATTCTTTTTCCATTTGGATACTCTAACTGGGATTTCAAGACAGTTGTGGGTACTCACTGAAATATATACTTAAGCCAACACAACAAACACAGGGAATCAGAAGTAATTCAGATTAAATGATTCCTGCAAAGCTTCTCAGTGGCATTTCCTGCACCTCATGACACCAATAAAGAATACAATTGTATAATGCAGGAACGGACAGATTACCAGGTGAACTCAAAAAAATCAAGCCAATAAATTACAAGTGTGATTATTCAGAAATAAAATTTAAGAGCAGTAATAATAAATATGTGGAAATAGGTGGTCATCTTGGAATTACACAGTCCATGAGTGATTTGAGTAAAAAGGTAAATTTGCACACATGACAGTAGAAAAATGGACTCATTTGACTAGGAAGATTCACAGCAAATCTCAAACATAGATAAACTTTTAAATCTCTTCTCACTCATTGCTTCTGTTGCATTTCAACTTCTTTTATGGTATAAACATAGCAAATGCAATTTATCACTAAAGTAATAGACAAATAAAACTTCAGATGTTAGTTTTTGCAAGCAACTTGCTCTGTGTTTATCTTGGTTCAGGTCACAAGGTAAGGGCACTAATACTGTCCCAGGTTACATGCAACTTGGGAGACTCAGAAAAACGCTGATGAAGGAACAAGGATCACAAGAATGGTTTCCCAAATTCCCACTATTTAGATAGTAGAAATGAACTCTTTCTGGACATATTTTCATATTTAGATAACCTCATTTTATATGTGAACTCTTCACAAGTGGAAACCAGAATGTAACTAGTAAAGAGCAAAACCGACTAGCACTGTGTAAACTACTCTTCTATGTTCTGCAAGTGCTCTGCCACTGAGCTATAAGCCAGGATGGCCTTTTTATTTCTAGAGGAGATAGGGTCTTACTAAGGTGCCCAGGATGGGATTGTAATGGGAGTCCTCTTGCTTCAGCCTAAGGAGCTGTGAATACAAGTGTGTATTCCATAACCATCCATGGTTACCACAAAATTTTGCAGGGGTGAGGAGGGTATAACCCTGGGATGTATCTGTTATATACATTTTCAATGCTGAGACAGGGTTTTTCTAAGCTGTTAAGATGCTCCCTTTGGGCCCAAACTTGCTATCTTCCTGCCTTGGCTTCCCAGAGTGCTGGGTAACAGGTTTGTGCCACCAAGCAAGGTTTACTTAAATGTGCCTTTCTACAAAGCCAAGAAATCTACTTGTAACATGCCTATTTCATGCTTAAATCTTTTCTATCCTGCAAAATCACCATGGACACTGGCAAGAAAAAAACATAGATTCAAAGTAACAACTTTGAAAACCTCTATTTAATAAATTGTCAGACTATAGAAGAAATAGATTTCTAGGCACATATGAATGACCAAAATGGAGCTAAGAAGATAGCCCAGTAAAAAGCAATGAAATGGTGGCAGTAAATGTAAACAACCAAGTAATTCAGAAATCACTTCTAAAGCCCAAAGAAGGGAGGAAATTATAAAGGTCAGAGCAGAAAACAATGCAATAGAGACTAAGTAAACAATATGAAGAATAAATGAATAACAAAGTTGGTTCTTTGAAAGAATAAATAAAATTGACAGGCCTCTAGCCAACCTTATTAAAAGTAAGGAAAAAACTCAAATTCATGTAATAAGGAATGAAAAAGATGAAATCACAACAGACCCTGTGAAAATACAGAAAATCTCTTTTTAAAACTTCTACTCTCATAGGCTTGATTACACAGAAGAAATGGAGAGATTCCTAGAAATACATGAATTACCAAAACTGGGTCAATAAGATGTAAAACTTCTGAATAACACAATTTCAATTAATGAAATTGAAAATGTAATTAAATCCCTACCAACAAAGAAGACCCCAGGTCTAGACAGATTCACTGTGTAATTCTACAAGAAATTCAAAGAAGATTTAATGCTGACATTCCTCAAACTCTTTGATGAAATTGAAAGGGGAATAATTCTCCCTAACTCATTCCTGGAAGCAAACATTACTCTAATACCAAAACCTTATACCAAACACCCAACCAAAAAAGAGAATTATAGGCCAATCTCCCCAATGAACATAGATGCAAAAATTCTCAATAAAATTTAGGCAAACGGAATGCACCAAATCATCAAGATTATTATACACCATGACCAAGTGGGGTTCATCCCAGGAATGCATTCCAGGAATGCAAGGAACAATGCGTATGTTCAACATACACAAATCAATAAATTTAATCCACCATATCAATAGAGCCAAAAATAAGAACCACGTGATCATTCCTACACATACAGAAAAAACTTTGATAAGGTCCAACACTTACTCATCATAAAAAAAAAACCTTACAGAAAATGGGAATAGATGGTTTTTACCTCAATATGATAAAGGCTATCTATGACAAACCAACAGCCAGCATCATATTAAATGGCCAGAAAATGAAAGCCTCTACCTTAAAATTAGGCACAAGACAAGGATGTCCCTTACCACCACTCCTATTCAACACAGTACTGGAAATACTAGCCAGAGCAATTGGACAAGAGAGAGAAATAAAAGGAGTAAAGACAGGATAAGAGGAAGTTAAATTATCATTATTTGCAGGTGACATGATACTCTACACAGACGACCCCAAAACTCCATTGAAACACTCCTAGGTATAATAAATAAATTCAGTAAAGTAGATGGATACAAATTCAACACTCAAAAATCAATAGCATTCCTATACACTAACAACAAAACCACTGAGAGAAATAAGAGAAGCCATACCCTTTACAATATATATCAACAACAAAATGAAATACTTACGATCTAATCTGAAAAAAGAGACAAAAGATCTGTCCAGGGAAAACTATGATACCCTTAAAAAAAAATTGAAGGGAATCTCAGAAAATTGAAAGACATCCCTTGTTCATGGATAGGAAGAACGAGCATTGTGAAAATGGCCATTCTCCCAAAAGTGTTATATAACTTTAATGTAATCCCAATCAAAATACCATTAGCATATCTCACAGATCTAGAGAAATCACCCCTAAAATTCATCTGAAACCAGAAGAGACCCAGAATAGCAAAGGCAGTTCTAAGCAACAAAGGCAAGGCAGGAGGAACCACAATCCCTGACTTGAAGTTACAGTACAAAGCTACTGTAATAAAATCAGCATGGTATGGAATAAAAACAGATGTAAAGATCAATGGAATACATTAGAAAATACAATAACAAACACACTCAGCCACTTTTTCTTTGATAAGGGGGCCAAACATGTCCACTGGAAGAAAGATAGTTTCTTTAATGAATAGCGCTGGAAAAATTGGCTCTCCATAGGCCAAAAACTAAAACTAGAACCATGCCTGTCACAGTGTACTAAACTAACTAAATGCATGAAAGATCTAAAAAATCTTAAGACAGAAACAGTAAGTTTGTTAGAAAACAAAGTAGGTAGAAATCTTGAATACATAGGGGTAGGTACAGAATTCATGAATAAGACTCAAACTGCATGTGAAATGCTTCACAGAATCAATAACTGGGATCACGTCCTATTAAAGAATTTTTACATGTCAAAAAAATATCCAGCATAGCCAAAAGAAAACCCACAAATTGGAAAAAAAATCTTAGTGAACAGTCCCTCAGACAAAGAACTTCTGTCTAGAATATATAAAGAATTTAAAAAATCAGATGCCCAAATTCAAAGACCCATTCCAAAAATGGGCATCTGAGATGAACACAAACTTCTCAGATGAAGAAATACAAGTGGCAAATAAATACATGAAAGAATTCAGCATCATTGATCATTAGAGAAATGCACATTAAAACAACACTGAGGTTTCATCTCACTCCAGAAAGAATGGCCAGGATAAACAAAACTACCAACAACAAAAGCTGGAGAGGCTGAAGGGAAAAAGGAACACTTCTGCACTGTTGGTGGGGATGTGCAACCACTATGGAGGTCAATCTGGAGATTCCTCAAAAAGCTGGGATTGGACATCCCATTTGACCCAGCTATCCCACTTGTGGGCATATTCCCAGAAGAACTGAAATCATCATGCCACAGTGATACATGTGCAGCCATGTTTATAGGCACAATTTGAAATAGTCAGATCTTGGAAAAACTTAAATGCCCATCAACTGAGGAATCGATAAAAAAGGTGTGATATTTTTTACAAAGGAGTACTACTATGCTATAAAAAATGATCACATTGAGATATTTATAAGTAAATGGATGCAACTTGAGACCATACTCACAAGTGAAATAAATCAAACTCACATAGGATTGGAACAATTGTGAATATTATTGTATAGTTATCTGAGGAACTCTTGAAGATCGTTACATAAAATAACAACCCTAGTTATGCTCCTACCACCTTGTTTTGAAGGCCTATATTTTCAGTGTTCTAGGCTCTTTCTATTGTTGTCTATATGTCTTTTTTGTTTCAGGTTTTTCTAGTAATTTGTTTTGTTTTGTCTTGTTTTGCTTTTCCCTCTAATACAGAAAGGACAGGTATACATGCAGAAACTCATGCATGTGTAGAACTTCTAAAAAGTTCATGAGAGTTGATAATATAATGCATGACGAGATGAACAGCTACTCTGAAGAAATAGACACTAAGGTTACTAGTGCTGATTCCATAGCATCATGATGTGAAATTCAGCAATACTATTATTCTTTGGTCAGAGTGATTTTAGCCTGTTTTGTTTTGTTTAATTTCAACATACATGAAAGTATGGACAGCTATTTTGAAGAGAGTAAGAGACGTTATGGCAGCCATTGTTGACTTCCCTATTGTCTGGTCTTAAAGACCTAAAATGCCTTCATCATCCTGTTCTGATCAGTTCTATACGATTATGTTTTGTATGCATTCATTGTATGTGGCAATATGGACAACTATTTGGAAGAAAACAAGAGAAAAAATGATAGACAGTGAAGATATCCAGTTGTCTTGCTTTGCAATCTGTGTCTTTTATATTGTTGTCTTATGATGTTTTGTTATGTTTAATTTTACCCTCTTTTAAAAAAATCAGCAAAATAGGCCCCCCACAATAAAAGACTCAGTTTTAAAAAGGGCAACTGAAATGAGTCTACTTTTCAGAAGAAATACAAGTAGTCAATAAGTACATGAAAAATTGTTGAAAATCACTGATCATTAAAGCAATCCAAATTAAAAATTAACAGTAAGACTCCAGATTATTCCAGGAAGGATGGTTATCAAGAAATCAAAAACAGCAAATGCTGGAGAGGTTGTGGGAAAAAGAGACCATTTTACATGGTTGGTGGAATGTAAACTAGAATAACCACCATGGGAATCAGTATGGGGATCCCTCAAAAACTAAAGTTAGAAATTCCACTTGTTCTAATTATTTTCTTTCCAGGCATCATCCCAAAACAGTTAAAGAAAATATATTACAGTGATACATGGTTATATGGTTTTTGATCAATTTTTCTTATACTTTTTCACATAATGAGTTCCCAAGTGTAAAGATATATCCAATCTATCAAAATCTATAATGGTTTCTGATTCTTAAGAGACTTTTTCCAAATGTAGAAGTGGAAGATTAGTTTCCTTGGTCTGATTCTCTGATGCCTTTTCTTCAGGGGAGCATATTTTTAACATAATATTCTTCTTAAGAAACCACAAAGTTTGGAAAAAGGGAAAGTAGAAAATTAAAATTTAGCCTGTCTCATTGATGACTTAATTTACATAGCTACTTCTTCCTCAGTGGACTGCAACAAAGAGGTTGAAAAATAATCTACCTTACCTTAAAACAAAGAGAAAAACATGAACCAACACCTTCACTTTATCTGTGTGTAGACTAAACTTATGTTCTAAATTTAAAAATATGTACTAAGTGATCTTTAATATTATAAATCTGTTCCCACATAAAGATATTTTATCTTACCATTTGTTATGGCTTGGGCCTACCTGTCCCCTCAAAGACCCATGCAGTCATAGAGCTTTTTCAAGGTCACTGAATGTAGTTTGTGGTACTGGAATTAAGGGTGTGCCTGCTACATCAATTCACTGATTGGTTTGGCATCACCCTAATCCTAGTAGTCTGGATAAGATAAAAAGTGAAGACCCTATTCAGGTCTTCTGCTGCATTTGATGTCTTCTGGCAACATGCATGTTTGCCCCTCTGCCATGCAGCCCTACCTTGGGCCCAACAGATTACTGACTGAAATCTCTACAAATCATGAGCTAAATAAACCTTTCTTCATTTTACTTTGGGTGCTGGGTATTTTGCCTTATCAATGAGAAACTTAACTAAAATGTCACCCTTTAAACAGCGAATCCTTCATTAAAAAGTCCTTTGTTCTAAAGCTTACTAACTGGAGTATAGGTAGACTTTAAATTACTGAGAGACAAGGTCACCAGTCAGAGTGATTCAAATTTATACCACAAAAGTGTTGCGCATCCATGTGAACTACGTTTGTTAAATCCACTTCTAATATATTCTAATGTTTACTACACAGAGTGGATGAAGTACTTACTGATTTCTTACATTGAAGTAAGAAATTATTGTTTGTACCCTAACACCAAAGTCTCAGTTGGGAAGGTATGAGTCTTTGCAGCTGGGTTGACTTTATGACCGTTCAATGTAGGCAATGGAATTAGCTAGAGACTAGAAAGTACAATTCAATTCTTTTTTTTTAAATTTTATTTAAGGAGAAAAAAAAAGCAGAGAAAGGGCACAAGTTATACAGATTTACAGAAAAAAAATGAACAGTAGGAAATCACTAGTTAATGGATTACATATTGTCATCTTAGAAATAATTGTTCAAGTCACAAAATTAAAGCTTGTAAAGTGGACATTCCATCAATGATACTGCAAACAGATCTGTTCAATGATCCAATAAAACTCTGTGATATCATTTTCTATCTTATACACTTAAATATACATGCAGTTATATAGTTTAGAGCACTTTCTTTTCCTCTCTTTTGTACAATGACTATTACACATTTTGGGTTTCATTGCTCCCACGGTTCTTATTACTTTTTTGGAAGAGAGTAAAACCAAATGTGACATAGCAGAACAGAATCGGTCAAGTCAAAAGGGTGAACATAATAGATAATGTGAAAACATAATACAAGGTGATCAACAATGGTTACCATAATGCCTCCCGCTATCTCTAATAGAATTGCCTATATCGTTAGTTATAATACAATTGAACAAAACAGTAAAGAATAAAACCGACAAAACCAAAACATTGGAGACATTGGAGGTCTTCAAAAGTAGATAAAAGAGAATAGGCGTTATAATGAATCTCATTATCTTCACAGCTGATGCCTAAACTTTTGAACCTGACACTATCCAGCAAAACAGAATAGGGGAGCATCAGTTAAAAACCAGATGGTGAGAGTAATACAGGGCTTTAAATTGAGGTAATGGAAAGTCAAAGTGGGTTACTATAATATATCCTGCTATTTTTTTCCTTTAATTAAAAGGATAAAAATAAAAAAGTAAATAATGGAGTGGAGATTGAGATAAAAGAGGGCATAACAATGAAACAGCGCAGATCAAAACATAACCATTTAAGCAGAATAGTGTTTCACCACCAGATAATCCTGACCTAAAAGTAGTTACCATATTGTCTCTTTCCTTTCTAACAGGACTTAGGACTACATTGCTGAGGCTCTGGGAATGATCACCATTTGTTGTGCATCCAACAGTGGTCATCACTGTTCCACTGGCCCCAACATGAGCTGCTTAACAAAAGGGCTTGAACCTAGACTCCCTTTCTTCGTCATTTAAGAACATTGCACACATGGAAGCACTTTTGCCTTAAATCTAAAACTTAGCCATAAGTTACTATAGATTCTAAGAATAACTTGTTTATAACTGGTTAAAAGTTTTTTCTTTTGGAGGGGGTCTCAGGAATCAAACTCAGGGGTATATGCAGGCCAGCATTTGTGTCACTGAGCCACGTCCTTGGCATGACTGAAATATTTTCAAAAGTAAATATTAAATCATAAACTACTGATTCTAACATGTGAGTCAGAAAAGTCATTTCATTTGGCTTATACTATATTATTAAAGAAAACAAAACAATGTTAAAGTAGGCATATAAATTTACATTTTTACTTACCTGGTCCTGGCTGTTTTCACTGTCATCACGTCTTTTCATATCTTCCTTTGATGTCACTTCTATGTTCAGTTCTTCTGAAAAATTTATATATTTATGTAAAATAAACTACTTAGAACAGATAAAAAGTGAGTTTTTATGAAATAGAAAAACTAATACAAATTTATTTTTATTTTCCAGTTAAGAATTAAATAATTGAATTAATCCTAATTTTTGGATATTTACATAGAAATACTTGTAATTATCCACAAATTAACAAATTATTTGGAAAGATATTAGATATCACTATATTGAAGATATAGGGACCTCTTAGAGCTTCATCATGAATTTACTCCCTAAGCATAGATGGAATGTCAGAAATATTTCAAATACAACAGAAACATATAAATCCACTCTATGCATTATTCTCCCACACATCTTGGCTACTTTTAAACAGCTCAGCATGTTATTATTAAAGGTCTCTAAATTACTATTACCTTTACATGTTTATCAGTGAACACCCTTTTCTTTATGTCATCCACTCTTCTGGCAACATTTTAAAAACTCTTTTAAGACTCAGTTTATAATGTGAATTATTTCTTGATTATGTTTACCTTCTCCACATAAAACAACTGCTTCTTTCTTTGGGGCTCCCTTTCATCAATGTTTCCACTGTATCTTTACCACACAAACAACAAACTTACTTCCTTATTAAACTTTTTGATCCTGTATTGCATGGGACAATCTTTTAAATCTTCTTTGTATACAAGTCTTCCTTCATCTTACTCAAAAACTATTTATGGAATTCTTGCTAAGTGCTAAGCACTGGGGTTTAGAGAGCATAAATAAAAGGTATCGGGAATGGCTTTTCTAGAGGTAATGATGAGCTTAGAATTAGAGTGAGGTTAGCCAGACACAAGGCAGGGAATTGTGGGAGTATGAAAGGTAGCAGCAAGAGAAAAAAATATTAAATGGGAATGATACTGATCTAAAAATAGAGGAATCACAATGGAAAATATCACTAGCTGTTTAGGAATGCCTGAGATCAATGAGGGCAGACAGATGAGAAGGCTGAACATACAGAAGTAGAAGTCAGATCATGCAAGCCTAAAGGTAACTTTGAGATGTTTGCACATCAGTGCTTTGAACAGTGGCTCATGTTCACATCTGTTCCAGAGATCAATCACTCTCAATAGTCAGGAGGATGAATATGATGGCCAAATGAATAAAGGGAGGGAGATGAATTCATAGAAGGAACCAGTGTCAAGTAAAGCTGATACAGGCCTAAACCTCTTAAACAGTTCATAAATTCTATTTCCAGAAATATTCAGATATGCAATCATGAGTACCCATTATAGAATGAATTTTTATTAAATAAATAAATGTATACAACTGCGTCCTTGGAGAACAACACTCTACTAATTATTTTTCAAAAGATATCATTTCACAAAAGAGTTGTGAAATGAACTACTTAGATTTGTTTAACTTGCTTGAGTCTACTCTGTAATTCTTACTTCACCTGTTGCAATGTGGAGGGAACACATTTAGTGTTTTGTGTAAAATGCCCTGCTTCTTGAGGTTACCACGTACATCAACACATAAGAGAAGGGCTGAAGGTGAATTTCAGAGGTAGAGTATGTGCTTAGCATGTGCAGGGATCTGAATTTATTTGAGATTAGTCTCCAGCGAAAAGGTTGGGGAGAAGAAGGCAAGGAGAGCAGGAGATGCAAAGAAGTCACATCTGTGGGGAAATAATTTTGGGTTTATAGCCTATACCCATTAATTTAGGAGATAACTAGTAGTCTATAAGATATGGTAAGGACATATACATTATGTTTCAAGATTTCTTATCAATGTAATCACATGATTAAGGGCACTAATTTAGCTGCTACATAAAGTAGAATACATATCAGGTGACACCAATGAATAGATTGTCCTACTAATTGAATTTAGTGATTTAATTTTTTAGAATGGTAAAGCAAAGAATGGAAGTTAATCTTTATTCACAGGAAAATGCAAGATATGAGATTCCACATAGTGCTAAGAAACCCTTCAGAGGATAACCTTCATATAATATTTACAGTTTGCAACTGTTCAAGTATAGTTTCATTGTAAAAAGTGCTACAAACACAAATCACATTTTAAAAAAGAGTTCTCAGTAGAGAAGCAGACAAACTTGTGCCAAACATAGGACACAAGAAAAATTGATGCGTCCCTCAGCTGCATGCATAGAAGATAAAGGTACCAGGAGCCAAATCCTAAATCCGGAAAGTGCAGCCTTCAGAGGTAGTTTCTGGCACAACATTTTGATCTTGCTCTACATACTTCTCAATCAAGTTTAATGAGACCTTATTCACAGACTCATTCTCACGGTCTCGTAGACCTTCAAGCTTGCCAAACGCCCACATTCTTTGATCATTACACTAAGCTGCTCAGTTTTGCCTAGATTCTAGAAGCCTGAAAAATATTTGAAATGGCATCCAGAAGGACAAAAATAATTTTCCTATCTTTCACAGTTATCAATGGTTCTATTTTACTAGACTGCACAAAGTATAAACCTGGCCAACTGCCCCATCGTTCATGTAGTTGGTCACGGCCCACACAGCTTTCTTCTGAGTCATAAAGTCTTCTGAGTCATAAAGATTGCTGGAGTTCTGCATGCCTCATACATCTGAATATCATTTCCTTTTCCTATGCTTGGGAAGTTTTTCTTAATTATTTATTTGAATAGTCTGTATTTGCTTTGTGTTTACCCCTGCTTCTTCATTCACATTTTTTATTCTTTTTTTAAAATTTTTTTAAAATTTTATTTGGGGAGAAAAAAAGCAGAGAAAGGGTACAAGTTATACAGATTTACAGAAAAAAATAAACAGTAGGAAATCACTAGTTAATAGATTACATATTGTCATCTTAGAAATAATTGTTCAAGTCACAAAATTAAAGCTTGTAAAGTGGACATTCCAACACTGAGACTGCAAACAGTTCTGTTCAATGATCCAACAAAACTTAGTGATATCATTATCTATCTTATACCTTTAAATATACATGCAGTTATATCATTTAGAGCACTTTCTTTTCCTCTCTTTGGTACAATGACAATTACACATTTTGGGTTTTGTTGCTCCCACAGTTCTTATTACTTTTTTTTGGAAGGGAGTAGAACCAAATGTGACATAACAGCAGAGTCGGTCAATCAAAAGGGTGGACATAATAGATAATGTAAAAGCATAATACAAGGTGATCAACTATGGTTACCATAATGTCTCCCACTATCTCTAGTAGAATTGCCTATATCATCAGTTATAATAAAATTGAACAAAACAGTAAAGAATAAAACCAACAGAACCAAAACATTGGAGACATTACAGGTGTTCAAAAGTAGATAATAGTCAATGAAAATGGGTGTCATAATGAATCTCACTATCTTCAAAGCTGTTGCCTAAACTTTCAAACCTGGTACTATCAAGCAAAACAGAATAGGGGACATCAGTCAAAAACCAGATGGTGAGAGTAATACAGGGCTTTAAATCAAGATAATGAAAAGTCAAAGTGGGTTACTATAATATATCCTGCTATTTTCTATTTATTTTCCCTTAATTAAAAGGATAAAAATAAAAAAGTAAATAATGAAGTGGAGATTGAGATAAAAGAGGGCATAACAGCCAAACAGCGCAGATCAAAACATAACCATTTAAGCAGAATAGTGTTTCACCACAAGATAATCCTGACATAAAAGTAGTTACCATATTGTCTCTTTCCTTGACATCTTTGAGTATAACTTTGTATACTGTAGCATCAAATATATCAAAACAATGTAAAACCATTTAAGAGAATGACAGCATTGCAGGGTATTTAGAATCAACTAACAGAAAATGAACAATGGTTTCTGTATAATCTCCTTGTCTTTAAAAGTCTTTGCTTATACTATCATACATAATAAAATCCAATAAGATACAACCTGTTTAGACCAATGGAGACAGAAGAACCAAAAGCTTGATGAGACTTCAAAACAAGATGATACTAAATCAGTATTACCTATTAAGACATCATTTTCTCCAAAATAGCTGTTCCTATCATCCAATCTTCTCTGCCTCATTTCTGTTGAGCTCTTTTTCTGTTATTAGTTGTCAGTTTGTCTTCTTCATTTTGTTTTCTGCTCCATTCATTGTGGCCTCTCTGCCGCTACTTCTGGATTTTTTGTATTTTTCCTTTTCAGAATATCTTGCAGTGTTCTCTGTAGAGTTGAATTGGTGGTTGCATATTCCCCTAGTTCCTCTTTATCCTGGAAGCACCTTGTTTTTCCATCAATTTCCAGGGACAGTTGTGCAGGATATCTCAATCTTGGCTGGAGATTATTATCTTTCAAAGCTTGAATTATTTCCCCCCACACTCTTCGTGATTTGATGGTTTGTACAGAGAAATCTGCTGTAATTCTGATGGGTGTTCCCTTGTAAGTGGTCTGTTTCTTGTCTCTGACAGCTTTTAATATTCTGTTCTTGTATTGAATTTCTGGAATTGTTATTATTATATGCCTGGGTGTTGCTCTGTTTGGGTTGTAGGTGGCTGGGGTTCTGTATGCTTCATACAACTGAGTATCTTTTGGTAAATTAGGAAAATTCTCCTGGATTATTTCTGTGAGTAGCTTTTGTAGTTCATTTGTTTGTGTCCCTACTTCTTCTTTTATGTTCTTAATTCTTAAGTTATGGATCATCTTATCATCTTCTAGTCTTTGTATTATTGCTGTTTGTTTCTTTGTTACTTTTAAGAAGTTTTTCGTTTCATTCTCCCATATTACAAATCTGCCCTCCAGTTCAGATAGTCTGTCCTTAGTTTCTTTCAAGCTGTTATGCCAGTTTTCGATAGACTTTTTAGTTTCCTGGTAGTCTCTTTGAACCTGCTTCACGTATTCTATGCTTTCTCTTTTTTCTCCATCAAACAATTCTCCCCTCTTTTTCTGTTCTTCCATTCCACCATCCGTTTTTTCTTGGGTGGTGCTTAGCATTTCTCTAACTATTCTGCTTATGTCTAGCTTCAGGCCATTAATAATTTCATTCCTGAATTCATCTATGAAGCTCTCTAGATGGCGC